AATTAAATAAATACAATATCACATTTTCAATATCAGATTTTTTTTATATAGACCTGCGAATCTACTGTAAATCATAGTCGATTGAAGTTCTAAGAACAGTGTTTATAGTCTTGATATTTGTAATACTTTTGTTTAATATTGTCATCTTAACATTTCTAACGGTTTGAAACGCGAAATATATCAGTTATCTAAGTTTCAACTATGAACCAACATTTTGGTGCTATGCAATATTCTCATTATAGTAAAAAATAAATTATAATAATAATTATTCCGATAGGTACGCTGCACAAACGGTTCAAGATAACCAAATAAATATGGATGAAATATTGATTTCTCTTTAAATGATATTTAAAAAATCCTCGACGCTATATGATTATCTTTGAATATGAACTTGCAAGAACGACGGGAAGGGACGCGACCGACGTTGTGGGTAAGAGCTTTAGTTTATAAAAAAAACGAATTTGGATGCCCAAAATAACGATTCTCGCGAACGCAGTCTCTGATACAGCTAGTCTGCTATATTTTGCCAAAAGGAGTCAGATTCTACTCACTAAGAACAACCTCAACTAGCTGCTACATGTATATGATCCTAGGATCTGACGGAGATAAGAACATCCCCGTCTGATCCTGAACCAGAATTTTAGGAGTCCTGATGAGTATCTAGGAGGTGAACTACATTATGAAAGTTTAGCTTTAACTCGAAAGTCACGACTACGAACATTTTTAACGAGAATTTGTGACGCCATTTTTAAATTGAGTCTTCAACAAACCACTGCTGAGTTGAGTCCATTACGTTTAAAGGTCACAGTAGATAGACATAACACGAAAGATGAGACGCTCTTTGAAAATTAATCAAAGATATTGGAATCCGATAGCTGGCTGTACAGCTTATGTCTAACTGATAGAATAATGGCGCCGTTTGTTAATTCAAGTTGTCTTTATTGAATACTGTCCGTAGTTTACGCGAGTAGTACACACTTTAATAAAACACTAACGGTTTAAAACGCGATATATTATAGTTAAACTTATTTGAATATTATCGGCTCGCAATTATTTAATTTAATATTAATATTTTAAGCAAATAAGATGTACTTAAAAATAGATAAATACAATATATTCTCATTTTTTGCATTAGTTCTGTTACTATTGTAGTTTGTAATACTGCCTGTAGTTTACGCGAATAGTACACAGTTAAGCAGCCGTGGTCATGGGGTGACTTAAACAGTCTCCGTGAAAGTTAAAATTGTCAAATAAGTTTAACTAATATATATCGCGTTTTAAACAGTTAGTATTTCATTTTAATAATGTAGTCTTTGTTTCTTAATGGTTTCAATGCGAAATATTTCAGTAAATTAAGGTTTAATTTCGACCCGACGCTTCGGATGCTTTACAGTAGACGTGACAGTTATGTTTCGCGTTTAAACTGTTTAGTGATTATTATGAGTACCATTCGCTAAATAAGCAAAAGTAATTCAAACACTTGTTCTGCAAACTTGAATCAAATCATTTTTCAAACTCAAACTTTTCGTAGATTTAAATTAAGAAAATTCTATAAAAGTGAAGTATTATAATAAAGATGTTTTCAACTTTATTTTTATACAGAAAATGTAGTTAACGTAAATATGAATTCGACAGTAACAAGTATTTAAAGCGATGAGGAAAAACGAAGAAAAACGTTTTCTGTGTGTTGAATCATTATTAGATTACGGAAAAGCTCGAATTTGGAAGCTGAAAAACAAATTAAACGAAGTTGTGTAATGTATCTTACAAAGTATTTTGCTTTCAACGCGTAAATTGTTTTTCGGAAAAATTGTTTGACTCTTATTCTTTAGGAGAATTCTATTTTTTATCTGTAATTCTAGTAACCTAGAATTACAGATAAAAAATACTATTAAATGTACTTAAAATACTATTAAGTGTACTTAAAATACTATTAAATGTACGTCATCCAGTGTTTTAACACTGGATGACGTACATTTAATAGTATGACGGGATTGCTAATCCATTACCCTCAGTTGTGACTTCAATTTGATTCGGTCTTTAACTGATGGCGTGAATCCCTAATCCACGCCCACGGCGGGCAATAGTGACGTGGGGGTGTGTGACTCGGAGACAATAGCCGACCAGAACCATTAAACACACCACCAGCTCGCTATAGTGCTTTGAGGGAGCCCTGGGAACACGGCTGTATGAGTCCAAAGCTAATTTGATTCGGTCAAGCTTGTATGCATGATCCGGTCTCTGAAAAATCTAGACATTTCTGTAATCTATATGTAGCTGGGGCATTTCTCCTTCTACCAAGTAAGCCATCCTTGTCCATCCTTGTCCATCCTGCTCCATTATATAAGAAAAAACAATAACAATATTTTGACGTTGTGAAATATCTATATTTAAAAATAAAAATGAGGATTTTATATAAATTAAAAAACTTTACGACACAGGCGGGACTTGAACCGACGTCCGCAGCGTTCCGTGCTGTTGCTCTAAAGTCTAACCAATTGACACGGTAGCTACGCCACGTATTTCCAATAAAATTATATCGTGAAGTTTCTTATACGAAATAACAACTGAAAAAGCGTTTTAATAAAGTTCTATTGATCTTACACCGAAACGAGCTGAAACAAGTCTATTTTAGGATTCGCTTGGATGCTTTGCGTTATATAACATTTAATCGCTTCAGCTCTTTCGGTGTAATTGAATAATATTGTTACGAGTGACGTGACGTGACGCAAGCCTGTCTCGCTGTATAATGCAGAATTAACAAGATTACGAGTTGTGCATGTGGAGCGAAGACGAGGTATCGGCTCGGAATTCTCTAACAGGGTAATAAGTAAAACTTACGAGCGGTTTTAGCAAGATTAATGTTAACATGTTGACACGAGTCTAACAAATAATTCGTTATAATGCATTAATTTCGACCAAATTTAATTACCTTACATAGACATTTATACAAGTGTCACAGACATTTTTTTAGATCATGAGATTGTAGTTAAATAGAATTTGTACTTGTCGTGCAGCGGCTGGTTCTAGGTGTATGAAAGCGATTTAAAAATGGAATGATCTTGTATTCTGCAACCAAAGAGGTTACTTAAGAAAGGTTTTGTTTGAATTTAGAACTGGCTTGCACATAGAAAGTTGTTAAGTTAAAAAATAAAAAAAAACGAGAAAAGTAATATACTTGGCCGCATTGATGGACAAGTATGTGTATCTCTCTTGCCGGCCGCTGCAGTAATGTACTATAACAAAAATAAAAGAAACAAAACATGGTAACGCAACGACGAGACGAGATCGTTATCGTTACACATAATAAGTTTAATTAATGAAATGCATTGATTTCTGGTTCATATTCCTCAAACCGGAAAATGTGCGTTGTAATCTCTTGAAAAATGTTAATCATTAAAACGAATTGACACATTATCCACTACTAGGAAATAGTAGTATAGTAGATAATTGCAGTGATCTATGACACCAATATATAAATAAGATATAGAGGAAAAATTCTTTATTGAAACGTCTTTGCTCTTTGACGTACAAACATATAAAAGTTTAATTCAAAATAATTATATAAGAGAAATTTTGATAGTTGTATATAAAATTAAGTAAGTACACATTTAAATAACACACTTTAACGGTTTAAAAAGCGATATTTATTAGTAGCATCTGAAGCGTCGGGCCGTAGTTAAAATAATTTTCAAATTAGTTTAACTAATATACACCGCGTTATAAACCGTTAGTGTTTTATTGAAACCTAAATACTTTTAAAATTATACTAGTTTTGATACGTCACTAATGCACTATGTATGCCTTTGTAAACACGCGTTAATCTGTAAAAAGCAACAACAGTTTCCCAAAATATTTAGGTCGGGTTCACCGCTCGGAGAAGTAGATCAAACGCAAATATAACTCGCTTGATCATTACCTCATATAACACATTCTTCGTTATTTACTCGTTCTATAATGAGACGCACAAAGTTATATCGGATATTTTCTTGTATAGAAGTGGAGGTCGGTGGTACATGGTAGAAGACCCCAGCTATATTGTATACAAACTAAATAAGATGTGAGGTGGACCTTTTTTTGTTTTTTATTAATCTCTTGATACAAAGTGAACATCTAAACAAGATGCGCGGTCAACCTATTTTGTTGTCGAATATTCACGAATGCGATGCGATTGTTTCATCTGTGGACGGTGATTAGTGACTCGGATGGAATTTCGTCATTCCTACAACACATTTAATTCAGATTTCCAGACGAAGTCAATATAAATAGATTGGAGTTGTCCATTAATAACATGATCTTTTTTTAGCATTTTTTAACCCCCCCCTCCCCCATTGGTGATACGTAGTGAGGTTTAAGACCACCCCCCACCCCCTTCTAAACATCACGTATATTTTTAGTACCTACAAAGAATCTTAAAATTTTCTGAATATTATCTTAATTTAAATACAGGTATTTAAACTATAATCTTATTTTATCCTGAAATTAAGGACCATAATAAAAATGTCTACACCATTTGTTTAAAAATCGTGCGTTTGACGAAAAAATAAATACACGAGATATCTTACTACACCCCCCACCCCGCTTGTGTTATTTTCGTGATTTTTATCAAACACCTCCCCCCCCCTTCAAACTTCACGTGATTAATGGGCAACCCCTTAGAACATGTTGGACCCGATAGGCATCGAACCCACGAACTCATACATTGCTACCATAGCACCAACCATATTTAATTTGTATCAAAACTTATGAAGAGATCAAAATATGATGATATCGGAAGAAGAAGAACACTTAAGAATTGTTTTACTTAGACTTTTTACTAACTAAATTGAATAATAAATCACCATGTAATAATCAACGTTAAAAGTATAATGCTTCATACTATTACGATATCGTCTTACGCAAATTTAGCTAATTGCAAGCTTACACAATTTGCACGTTATCGCTCGCCACGCTAATATGAATCGTATGTGCATGTATTAAAGTGTATTTTCTTTTACAGAATGCCGGCGCTCCGGCTACTGGGGCGAAAATGGCTGGCTGCCTCCGATGATCTTGTATTTCCCAGTATTTTCGAACTTCTCTTTCGATTCGTGTGGTAAGAACTATACTTTGTCCAATGTAGGCAGATAAGCTCACAATTCACGCCTATGAAGCAATTTATTCTAAGTACTTTTATACTACAAATACAGACTTTTTTAAGTCCAAGCCTGGTCAAGATGGTAGGTACCCCAGCCTATAGCATCTAAACAAGTAGTGCTGTCGATCTATTTTGGCTTTAGATTTTGGGAAATCCACAAACTAAAAGCGAAACGCGATTAAGCTTCTCGGCTTTTTCACCTGTGACGGTGGTTCGTGACCCGGCTGGAATTTCTATATTCGGACATTTAATAGTGTCTCAAAAAAATTTGAAACATGTTGGTTGATGTTATGAGGTTTCTCCACACACAGAAGTGCATAATTATAATAATTTACTTATTTTATAAAGAGCATGTATACTATATTTGTCACTTAGTGACGTTACACGTCAACAGGTCCAGCTGAAAATCATTGTGGCGCCTTGTGCACTACTTTGCTGATGGCCCTTTTTGCCATCTGTAACCTACTAAATTATAGCTAAACCTATAAAGTAATTTATGTTTTTAAGTTAAATTTAATATAAAAAACTGTTTTCTTTCCTTCTAAGTAATGTCTGTAGTTTACGCGACCGATTTTAATAAAATACTTTTAACGCGACATGTCTAAGCTAATTTATTTACAGTTTATTTAACTACGGTCCGACGTTTCGGATGCGGTCACGGGGCGACGTAGGGTAGTTAAAATAAATTGTAAATACGAGTAAGTTAACTAGTATATTTCGCATTTTCAAACGTTGAAAGTATTCTTTCTTTCTTTCAATATTAATAAGAAGTTTATGGTGAAATAAACTTTGATGAAATTGAAACTTACGTTAAATAAGATTGAGTTAACAATAATTTACACTATATATTAAAAAAAAAATTCATTGATTTATTGATAATGTAACTTTAAATACTACATATCTTGGCTGTTTTGCAACACTATTGTCAAACATGCCATCCAACATTAGACGAGACTAGAAGAAGTGTCGTTTATTTTATTATCCGCTGTAGTTCTTGGCCAAGTGTATCAATATTATTCTCAGTATTAAGTTACGGAAAACAGTACAAGGTCTTGTTTACAGCGAAATTAAGTGAAGCAGATTTGTATTATAGCGACTCGTTAGCGAAGTGTAATTATTGATAATTATGATTCAGCAGACTTTAATTAACCTAGCCTTTATGACAGTAGAGGACTGACAAACTGTTTTTACTTGATTGAATATGTTTTTTTTTCGAAACAAGATGTGCGGTCAGCCTATTTTGGTTTCGGACATTCAGAAATCCACAGATTGTAATCGAGAGGTTCAAAGTCAAAGTAAAAAATCATTTATTCATGTAGACTTGTACACTTATGAACGTCACAAAATAATTAAAGAATCTAACTTTACATTTACTACCAATTCTCAAATCAAGGGCGTAGAACGAACGAGAAGAACTGGCAATAAACTCGCCGTCACTCCTTTTATCGCCAAGTTTCATCTTACATTCATGATTTACTTTTAGTGCACTACATATTTTTCCTTGTAAGAACGGGGTCCTCCACACCCCAAGTATTTTTATCATTTAAATATTGATTAACGTAAATAACCCTTTTCAAGCAGTTTTTGTTTTACATACGATTTAAATTTACATAATTAACGTTTTTACACTATTTAGCGTGCAATTGTATCAGCCATATAATATATAAATATTAACATGTTGAATAATCACTGAACGTGGTGGGGAATCAAACCCACGACCCGTCAATTAATACCTTACATTAAGTACGGTCTCTAGTATACGCGAGTAGAGTAAAACACATTGAACGGTTTAAAATGCGTAATGGGGTACACGTAGAACTGTTGTTAAAATAAATTTAAGATTAGTTCAAACAAACAAACTCTTTAGCTTAACAATATTAGTATAGATTATGATTCCGACTTAAAATAGCCTAGGCCGCTATTGAATTATTAATAACTCCTTTCTAATAGGAATACCCTTCTAAAACGAGTAGCATTTATGTAGACCTTCAGCGGTGCAGGTTTTATTTATAACAATTATGAAATAATCTGTCTAATCCCTTGCAGGAAATTGTGGTTTTCCGTTAAGATATTTCCTTGTAGTATTCATGATTTGTTCGGCTTTGGATTTAGGCAGTTCAAAACAGTTTATGAGGAGAGAACAAATAAGCTTAATTAAGTATTAGGTTACATTACGTTAATCAATTCTAACGTCAAACATGCTTGGAATTTGCAAGAACGCTCTCTAGCAAAAAACATATGTAGTGCGCTTAAAGTAAGTGAAGACTGTCACATAAAAGGAGTGGCGGCGAGTTTCTTGACAGTTCTCGTTCTTTTTACGCTCTTGATTTGAAACTGGGAGTAAATGTCGAATCTTTAGCATTGAGTAAAAATCATTTTACATTGAGAAAAAATTTACGACTCGGGCAGGACTGAACCGCATCCACAGCGTTCACGTCTGCCTATAGCTACACGTCATCGTCGATTTTTTTCAACCCATTGATACATTTATTTATCGCGCAATTAATTAGAGCAACATAACGGAACGCTGTGGACGCCGGTTCAAGTCCCGCCCGTGTTCTATTTTTTTCAACCTAAGATCTATTTTCAATGTATATGATGCCATCATGTGCAAAATTATAGTCTTTAGTCTTAACTGGTGTGACGTTCATAGCGATACCGAGTTGAACAACTAATTTTTGACTATAGCTTAGCTATATAAAATCTAAGCAAGACTGTCGACTATAAAATCATTGCTTTATTAACGTTATGAAATTACCTTTCCCCATGCGGAGCGGATATATTTCTGTGTCTGTTTACAAATCAAATTGCAAGTATTTTTTCTTCTGCCAAAACTTTATGTCCAAGATTTGAATTAAGAACCTGCTACATTTACGATCATTCCACACAATGAGCTACGAAGGAAATAGGCTAGTGACGTATGCTAATAATGTCCATCGTCTTTTTTGTATGCTTTCGTTTTATATACTCTTTAAAAGATATTTTTGGTTTGACTGCGGTTCGTCTTGATTGCTTCATAATGGATTCTAAATTGTAACCACTTCATTTTATTGGCTCAAATGCGTACTGTGGTCTGCGGACGATTTAAGGCCGTGGTCTCCAACAAATGGCGTTACTATATATGTACATATTTTATAAATTTGTATTTCTTTCCACGTGCAAAGGTTGCCTGGAAGATTACATATAGAGAAAATATTATTAAATAAAAGTGCATTTAGTGTACGCGAGCAGTACACATTTAAATTAAACACTATTAACTGTTTTAAACGAAAAATATATTAACTTATTTTTAATTTAACAATCGCCCGACGTTTTCTTTGAAGCGGCCGCGCTCGCGCGGTCATGTGTGTCATTTTAAACCGTTAAAAATGTTTTCTCTGTGGCAGACTACTGTTGTCAACGAGACTTTAAGTTATGAGACGAATTGAGACCGCAGCCTAACATATGCCGGACATTAACGTTTCGTCTGAAATTATTCAATTGCTTGGAAAATCGCGACGATTGGTGTATTGTGTGAAAGGTCGAGTTTGGGTTTACCCTTTCTTCGGTTCGACCTTTCCGAACTCGGTTAATGCGAATTCTCTAAGAGTTACGTGTAGAGTTTATTATACTGTGAAGCAATTATACAATGTATTCGCTTTCAGACATTAAATTCTTTGTGGTCTAGTCGGCTCTTAAATAGTGATATTTGATGTACCCCCAACATAAGTTCCAAATAAAGCCAGAGGTTAACCAAAAGGCTTACTGCCCGTTCTTCTAATATGTAAAGCATCAAGACCTATAATGTTCTGTCGACCTTTATGCCTATATATTGTGCATTTATTTAACCGATTTTAATATTTGTAAATGTATTGACTATTGTTTAGTCGAGTATTACACATAAAATTAGTTAACTTTTTACATTTTTTTTAACTACGGCCCAATGTTTTTGTTGCTGAGTAAGTAAAATATTTCGCGTTTTAAGCCGTTAAAGTATTTCATTTAAATATTTCACATATGTACTTAAATAACTTTAAAATGCACATGACAGATCATATAAATTATAACATTTGATAGAAAAGATGCACGGTAGAGCACCATTGGTTAGAGCACGTAACGAAGTTCAAGGCCCGCCCGTGTAGTTTTTTCTTTTTCCAAATATATTTTTAATTTATATTTGCTATATATAGAATAGCTTAGTTTCACATATTAAAAATAAGAAACCATGTTGAATTCCAATGATGAAGTAATTAAAATTTTGTCGTCCGTTTTCAGGGGGGTCGTTACAGCCAATTTCAAATATAGCTGACCTTAATTTGAAATTTATTCAGATAAAGTAGAAATTGAACGAAAATAACTCAAACTCAGATATTGACCTATTGATTTCTTACAATGTTAGACAAGGGCAAATGATGTTAGGCATGTTATTCAATATTTGTTCAACGTCTCAAATTAGGACGACGAAATTGGAGACTTATTTAAAATGCTTACTGGGATGGTTATTCTGAGAATAAGGTGAGGATTTCGGGGCTTGGAAGATCAAGACAGAATTTTTAAATTATAGAAGTTCGCTTGATGGAAGGTGAAGCCCAGACATATGATGCGCTGCCGACGCCAATATAAGTTCTACAATACAACGTCAAAACGTTGTATTGTAGAACTTATATTGTTATTTTTGTACCTTGTTGTATTATTATTCATTATTGTACTGATTTAATTATTCTCTCGTATAAATCTTTTGCGTCCTGTCTGTAGTTTCACGCGTATCACAAATTTAAATTTAAAACTTTTAACGGTTTAAAACACGAAACATGCTAGTTAACTTATCTTTAAATTGGTGTAACTAAGGCCCGACGTTTCGGGTGCTTTGCAGCAGCAGTGCAAATGAATATTATACAGCTGACATGGTTCTTTGTTCGTTTAATCGCATTTATTTCAAGAATTTCTGTTTCAAATAGTACCGTTACTAAATTTGGTCCTGTTGTTACAGATTTCAAAAGTTATGTGGAATTAAAGCAATCCATTTTTCCCACAGGCTAGTGCTGATAGCCCTGGTGGTGGAAGTGCTGTATCCAGTAACATGGCAATGCCAGAGCGAGGGATGGCACGGTGGGTCGTTCGTACGTCTCTACCTTTGCGGAAACCTTGCGCTGCAAGCTTGCCTCATGCTGCTGCTGTCAGCTTTGGCCCAGCAGTCCGCAAGAGGCACCATCACGGACACAGACGCGCGGAAACTCGTCGCACCTTTATTATTACTTAAGTAAGTACGATTAGCTGCTTTTTTGACTTCAAAAGCATTTTATATAAGCATTTTCGGTCCTTACTATGTTATTCTTTCTAAATTGAACTTTGTTTTTCCTTTCTCTAGTCTTTATTTTGATGAGTTAGTACTAGTAGTTTGTGTATCTTAAGTTTATTTTGTATAGTTTAAGTAATTAGTATGTTAAATAGTGTTTATAGTTTACGCGAGTAGTACATATTTATATTCTTTTACGATTTAAACTTTTCGCGTTTTAAACCGTTAAAAATGATTTATTTGATCGTCATGCGTCTTTCTTACGATATTATTTGTTGGAACGCTTTCTTTCAATTGTATTTTTATTTAATAAAAGAATCTAAGTCCAAAATGTACGTCATATGGTAAATCGATCAAGTAGAGTCAAGGGCTGTTTAATTCAAACGCGTCGGGCAAGTATCGTAAAAAATATATATGAACCGATCCTAACGATAATGCGATAATGGTTTTTGACAGCTTTTCGACGTTCGGCTAAAACCGCGTCGTTTGGAATTTTATTGGATAAAGGTTTAACGTATTTTTATTTCAAACGTGGGGATCAATTGATGGAATACGAAATGCTTGAACCATATAACATGAACAAGACGCGCTGTCGGCCTATTTTAGCCTTTGGTCATATAAAAATTTACAGACTGAAACCGAAACGCGATGAATCCTCACGTCTTTTTTACGGTCAGTGGTTCGACATCCAGGCGGAATTTCAATTTTTTTTTTACTTTTGACCAATTTATAGAGACAGAGAGTAACATCTATACTAATATATAGAGCGGAAGAGTTTGTTTGAACGCGCTAATCTACGGGTTGGAAAAATTATTTTTGCATTTATCGAGAAAGGCTTCATCTCTGTGGGTTTCTGGTGCGTACGCTGCGAAAACGGTTTAAGATACCTAAAAAAGGTGTATTAAAGAATGATTCCTCTTTACATGATCTAATAAAAAGACCGCGACGTAATATGTCTATCATTTAAGATTAACTTGCAAGAACGACGGGAAGGGACGCGATCGAAGTCGTGGCAACCAACCTTAAGTATATAAAGATGACGGGGCTTGGAAAGACTAATTTGGATGCCCAAAAAACGAGTCTCGCGAAGTCGCTGGCAAAGCTAGTCTTTAAAAAAAATTATAATGATTTTTTGAATAGAGAGGTTTTGTTGGTAATAAAACCTACGACCCGTCGATTATTAATTTTACATTACTGTGACACCAATGAGGACGTCGAAACGTGATGTTATTACTATGGACTGTCTATGTCCGCCTTTGTTTAGATTATTTCGATGTCAGATTATGTAGAGCATATAAATAGCTTAAAATATCCGAAATAAACAGTGAACCCATGAGGGGCACGGGGCAACATTACTATAAATTTACGTGAAGTACTTTAATTTATTAAAGTAGAAATAATTTATTGTTATTCCGGAATTCAAAGCTGAAACCCTCTAGTGCTTATTGCGTTAATGTTTAAGCATTCAACTATGGAGAGCGTCATATCATAAATAGAACTATTTATATTAAATTGGCAATTATTGATTATTATAAATATTTATACATATTAATAGAATTTATTTATCGCTGTTTATACATATATGTACAATGCGACACTGCGTGGTAGAGATATTTTTATATTACACTTTCCTACCCTCGCTACTATAATAGTATTTACGTTGAAAGATACCAATACGATACTGTATTTGTTAGCTTTTGGTTTCAAAATATATGTAATATAATATGGTTATAACGGATAAGCGGCCAAGTGCGAGTATGAATTTCGTGCGTAGGGTTCTCTCTTTATCAAGTGATTGTTATCATAATTAATATATAGAATAAGGACAAAAACAAAGTGTTTGTTGGAGCGTTTTGAATACTTTTGTTGTCAACAGAAACACACAATTTGTGAAATTTCAAAGTCTCTAGCCATCGTCGTTCTTGAGACTGATCGATTGCCAAACATACAGGGAAGTCTTAGTTTTAAGGTGTTTCTCCCTTTTTGGTTCGAAATCCTTGAAAGAGACATTAACCTTTAAGTACACGCGTTGTTTACAATAACATTTCGTCACGCAATGGGGTCCAAAAGTAACCCTAATATGAATTTACATATTTATATATCTTCACATTTTTATAATTTTTAAAAGCACTTGTAGATTAAAAAGACTCAGTAGTATTTATGAAAAGTATTTTCGAAACATAAAATGTATTTACACAGTGAAATAGGTGAAAAAAAGTATCTAATGGAGTCTCTGGGCATCCTCGTGTAAGCAAAGAAGTATATTACTTTAACAGAACAGCGATGAAAGACAACTCGTCAAATCATTGCACTGATATAAGACGGAAACGCACAACCGTAACTTGTCAATTACAAAAAAATACCATTGATAAATTAGCACGTGGTCCGCTAGACCCCGACCGTTACCTACGGGTTAATACAAGAGAGGCGTATGTAACGTAATGAAATATTGTAATTATACAATTCTATTTTTGTTTCAGAGTATTTCTTGTTCTGCCCGAAGTTACTCTGAACGTGATGGGAACGATGTGGATGTTCTGTGACGTCATCGAATGCGATGTGAAAGACAAATTCTCCAGTATTGTAATACAGAGTAAGTAGTTTTTCAGTCTCGTCGGTATAGCTGTTAAGTACATTAATATATAACGCAGTCCAGGGTTCGAATCCCTACCTTTCCTTCCTTTGGAACTTTTCTATGAATATTTTGAGTAACAGTTCTGTGTTTGGAGGTGTCACCACCCCCGTGATAAAGATGTCGGTCTACTAACTTATCAGCCCTCAAGCTAAAAGACGGTGCTTTCATATTTTCACTTTTAAATCATACCGCACTTGTTACTCCAACTTCAAACTTATGATTTAGTATTTTAAGTTAATTCTCATTTCTATACATACATATATTAAGTACAATTTTATGCACGGAACTGCTTCTTGCTTTACATAGTACGTACGCCATCAAATATCACAGCTACGTGAACATTTTCAATGTTCAAAAATATTTTAAATACAAGATAACCCTGCTACACAAAGGTTAAACAAAGCCCCCCCTTTCCAACATAAAGATTGATTGAAAAGATATGTTTTCATCGTTCATTGCGGCCTTAATTGTCGGGTAAAGAAAATCCTTTGGAAATGTTTTGTTTCTAAGAGAAAAGTTTACATACTAATAAAGCCTTTTAGATTCATTAATAAAAAAACAATAAAATTTTAAATGACATATATTAAACCTATTTTAATAACTTTAATATTTTGCACATCTTATTGATGCCACTATATAAATGAAAAATCAATTATAAATTGATAAAAAAAATATATTTTTGTCAGCTTTCGGAACGCTGTGGATGCCGGTTCAAGTCCTGCCCTTATCATATTTTTTTTTCAATCTATAATCGATTTTAAAAATCTATTTTAGTCAACATTACGGAGATCATATGTTTCTAAACGGGATTAAAGTACGAGAGCAGTACACCTTTATATATAAAACACTTTTAACGGTATAAAACAGTGCTTCCAAGCGTCCGTAGTTAAAATTGTAAGTTTCAAATTGTAAACAAGCTAACTAATATATTTCGCGTTTTGAACCGTTAAGAGTGTTTTATTGAAATACTTGTTAATAAAGGATATTTGTATTGTTTTAGGTATAGTACTATTTAATTGGGTGCAGCTGGCGTTGACGGTGTTTGGCCTTTTTATGGTTTTCGATCCGTTGGGGTCAGTGAACTATGACGAGATGTTGGACACGCCGAATCAGGCCCGACATCATAGGAAGGTGACGGGGCTGTGGTCCAGGAGGTTCCGGTGGGCGTTTTGCTGGTTGAAGCGGGACGAACACGGGAAGGAAGCGTTTCAACAGGTCGCTGGTACGTGCTTTTCATTATTTGTATAGTTTATTTGTGAACGTCGATTTATATACGCGTGTTAAGAAATAATTATCTGTAAGAATATGTAATCATATTGTAGGTAAAAAACAGTAAAGCCGTTTCGCAAGTAACTAACACTGTGACGCGAGAATTTTGTGCACATTTTTACTGAAAGACAATTATTTTTTCTTCCACATTTTGCATATTTAGACTGATTAGAGCAGCGCCTAGAAACGCGGTGGATGCCGGTTCAATCCCCGCCCGTGTCTTTATTATTTTCTTAAATAGATTTCTAATTTAAACCATTATGAGATATGCATGAATTTTAAATGGCAAAAATAACACTTAATACTTTTTATTTTCAAAAGCGCTCGTATGCTTCGCTTTAAATATTTACTTGAAATATAAACATAATTTTGAAAAGATTAAATTCGCTTTCGCTGTACTTTTCCTTAGTTCGTTTGAACTCTAAATTATGTAATGACCGATTACAATGTCGATCGATCGAAGGAACCAAGAGTTCAAGGCTGTCAAATTACACAATTGTCTTTGAACTGAATGCTGAATGTTCTCCGAGTAATTTGTATCTTTATAGCCTTTCTTTAAAAAAATATTGAAGGCAAGGCTGAAATATATTGCTTATTTATTGCACATATTAAAATATTTAACGGTTTTAAACGCGAAATGTTAACATAGTCGAGCACCCGTGACCACGGCTACTGCTGTATTTATGTAATAACATCTTTCCTTTTAGCATTGCTGAGTGCCCTGTTCAGGTCGACGGACCTCGTACCTTCAGACGTGGTCGCGGGCTGCGTACTCCTAAGAGTGAGACAAAAGAGGGAAACGAGGGAGATGCGAAGAATACAAATGCTCAACGACGAGGAGCCAATCTACACCACGGACGTCAACAAGGTGTTCTCGGAGACGCCGCCTTGGATGAATTTAGACCACGCGCTGCATTATTTGAGGTTATCCATCGCGGCTTACGGCTGGCCCTACGTGATCTACCGTCATTGTTTCACCGGGTTCTGTAAATTGGCGAGACATTTGACCTGTTGCTGTTGCCGGTGAGTGTACTTTGAATGCATCATAATGCGACGTCAAACGTTAACAGCCAGGGTCCATCTGAATCATTCTTGGCCCTTTACTTAGCTGATGGCGAAGCCGTTTTTGTCATAGTGTATATAAATAATGTTTTCCTTCTTGAGTCGCTACTGAATCCACTTCTTCCCTTTTAAAAGAGACGGTTGAAGAGGTTATATCCACCACTCAGGTCCAATGTGGTTTGGTGGGGTGTAATAACGTCTATTAACTTCTTTTTGAAACGTATGTAGTGTACATTTTTTCGTAACAAATCTCACGGCTTAATATTTGTTTGTAATATTTTAATTTATTAGGGTCGCGTGCGTAATAATTCCTAACAATAGCAGTAAAACGATTAAAATATAATAACGAACTCACACGCAAAACTTACGAGTATTTCGTGAAAGTTTTCCTTTCAAAGTTATGACTCCAAAAGTCGTTTTCAAGTCGTTGACACACTGTATCCTTTATTGCGTTTTAACATACGTTATAACCCGCGCGTAAAACTATTTTTGTTTATATAACTGCTAAACGTGAATTCAAAATACGAACGAAGCACAGAATACTAAACTAACCAGAAGGAGTTTTATTACAATTGTTTATAGCGCGCTGAAACACTTCTATGTATACTACTTTTGAAGTGAAATCAACGACAGACAACGACAACTTACTACTACAATAATATAAGGCAGAATAGCCTAATTGCAATTTTGATTTATTTTGACTTGAGTTATTTATATTTGCATAGTCTAAAATGTTAATCTACAAGAACCCAATGACCGAAAACTGTTAACATAATTCTTATACCAATAATAGTGCAAATTTATTTTCGCCTAAGTTAATCGCGCATCTTATTTTCCTACATATTGAAAATCATGTTTTTTGTTATAAGGCTACTCTGCCTCTAGCGGCCTCATATATCAACGATCTTAATAGTTATCGCATTACACCAATTTATAGTAGCGATTGCTTCACTTTTAAGAGCGTTGAGTGTTACTGGTTTGTTCAGTATTCTGTGAAGGTAAACTATTATATACGGTTTGCAGGCCAAAGAACTCTATAGTGACGGACGACAACTGTTGCCTGTGCCACTTCGCCGGAGTCAAGTACATGTCTAAGCTCTCTGCTGATGACATCATTTTCGCTTCATTCAACAATCGAGTTTTCGAAGTAAGTTCTTACCCCTCAAAAAGTACGTGAATAGAGGAGTAGACCACATTTAAATAAAACACTTTATCGCTTTTAAACGCGAGATATATTAATATTAACTTATTTCGAAATTATTTTAATTATAACAATTTTGGACTTTCGTAGTTTAGGCCCGACGTTTCGGATGCTTTGCAGTAGCCGTGACTTGATTTATTTCAAAGATTAACATTCTCCTTTCTATTCCTTTTGTCACTTGATACCTGGTAAAATACCAACACACACTGAAACCTATTTCGGCTTTGAATATTTGGAAATCCACAGATCCGAAAAGCGATTAGACTTGATGGTTATCGTGACGGTGGTTCGTGACCTATACGAATCTTCCATTTTTCTCCATTTAATATCAAGATTTAAAAACAAATATATATCATTAGAAAAATGTTGGAACCGGTGGGGATCGAATCCACGACCTATTGATTAAACATACATAGCTACCATTAAGATCCACGAGTCCGCTGATAGAGGTGGTTGTTCTTGGTGCGATACGTCATTTTGAACTGTAAATAGGTACTGTATAATGTTTAAAATTGCACGTTTTGATCAGTTGACCTTTATACCGCGATTGTACAAAACTGAAAACAATGCTTTACCTTAATTAGACTAGCCCAACACTGGCTACACATACTATCTAAGTTAATGCGAGTACTACATATTTATATAAAACTTAACGGTTTAAAACGCGAAAATTAGTAGTTGACTTACAATATATTTTGACTACGGGCTGACGTTTCGTATGTTTTGCTGAAAATATGGTCACGGGGGGAATGAAGAAGACTGTGTCTGTGTCCCTAATGTCAAAATCACTACTGCTACGCTAGCGCCATCTGCTTTGGTTGTGCTTCGTACTTGGTATTTAAAGAAACTAGCTGGGGCCTTACAGATCATCTCGTCTCTTCTCGTTGTGCGGTTTTCCATTCTTTGGGATCTAGTGTGCTTAGTACAGGATCCCAGATGTTTCATATCTTGAAGCCGTTCAAGTTATCTGTATGATTTTTAAAACATATTATACAGTGTGGCGACCACCAGCGTTAACGATGTGCAGCGAGAAAGAAAAGCCGCTAACTTGTGTGCGGAGACCCTAATGCTATAAACTAGTCATTAACGTCAATGCAAGAACAAATTTCTGGCATTACGTTGTGCCATTGTAAACAATAAACATATTTATGCCGTCAAGTCAATTATTGTTCTCATAAACTGTCAGACGTATGACCTTCTAACATCCTTGAATAGTATTTTTGTGGAAATCGCTTTAATCTTCACTATACTTTAAAGACAGTAGAGTCATTTTCCGTGAGACACAAAAAATGTTAATAAATTCGAAGTGTGCACGACATAGTTTAGTAATTAAAACACTGATGACTCGCGCTATCGGCCGGTAAAATTAGTTAACTATTAAAATAAAACACTTACCACGGCTGCTGCGTAAACGATCGGTCAATAAATAAATTGTAAAATAAATATAAATTTATTTAATAGAATTATATTATATTTGCGATTCAACCCGTTAAAGTGTCTTATTTAACTGTGTACTACTCGCGTGGTGGTACAAATATTGAAATTCCGTCCTAACGAACACGGTACAAAGTTAAATCCGTGTTTCAGTCTGTCCTAATAGTGTTAAAAGCCAAATAAGGCGACTGCGCATATCCTACTAATATAACAAACATGAAAGTTTTTATGTGTGGATGGATGTTTGTTACTCTATCACGCAAAAACTACTGAATGGATTTCAATTATACTTTCCAATAATATAGCTTATATATATAGCATCAGAACAACACATAGGCTACAATTTATAAAGATATTGTGTGAGCTGTACAAAATATTACATGAAGTGTCAAGTAACTAGGAAAAAACCTACCTTTCTGCGAGCTATTCTGGCGTGCGCAAAATAATTATGAATGTAAGATATTATGATAGACATCATTTAGTTTAAATGCGCGATACTACGTAAACCTTCTCCTGCGAAGACGAAGTCGACCAGGTAGTTGTTTATATGTTATGTGGTTATTTCATCTTCCTTTAAATGAACACTCGTGCTAGCCCATCTTCTGTCTTAATAATTTTTTATATCTTTTCTCAATTCAGTTACCGTTCTGTGTGATCGCGGATCATGAGCGGGAGAGTATCGTGGTGGCCATACGAGGATCTATCTCTCTTAGCGACATCTTCACTGACTTCACAGCTGGCTCCGAGAGGTTCGAAGCCGATGGTAACATTCCTTTATATTTAGAGATGATTTTAAGAAATATTATGAGTAACAATGGACGAATCTATTAAATTATAGTGTCACTTGATATAACTACAGACAGAGTTAGCTGAAGTTTTTGTGATGACTTTAATATTAATTAAAGGAATTAAAATAAAACTATTACACTCGTTGTACCAAAAACTCATAGAGTATATATTCTATAATAGAGATATCATAGAGTATATGTATCTTATGAAGTACAGTCTTACAGAGGTATATGTATGTAATACTAGCACAGATCAATTATGGAAAGGCGAAAAATTAATGATTGGTTTAACATTTTGTTTATTGTATTCACCTATATTATAAAGCCGAAGAGTTAGTTTGTTTGAACACACTAATCTTAGGTGCTACTGGTTCGAATTAAAAAAATTGTCTTGTGTTGGATAGAGCATTTATCGAGGAAAGCTAAAGGCTAAGGCTAGACCAATAGGAGCGAAGGAACATTTGGAAATGTGGAAAAAAACGGGAAAAAATATTCACCTGTATTATATTGTGTATGAAAGAATGATTCCCTTTTAAGATTAACTCGCGAGGACGACGGGACGCGAACGAGGTTGAGAGTAAAAGCTATAGTTGAAAACCGGAAAAGGTTTTCAAAAGCAAATTTTGATTCCCAAAAATAACTATTCCACGCGAACAAAGTCGATGGCACAGTTAATTGCTAAATAAAGTTTAGTTTAGCTTTAAAGCTTTACAGTTAACGTTTCCATGATATTCCATTACTCACGAATCTCTTTTCTATTTAAGAATATCATTATATATTTATATTCTACAGGTTTGCCAGAAGGTACTGCAGCACATAAGGGCATGTCGATGGGTGCTGCGAAAATGCTGCGGCGGTTAATGCCAGTGCTGGACCGGGCATTCCAGCAGTTCCCACACTACGATCTAGTCTTAACAGGTAATTTCTATACGATAAGTGATATTCTTAGTTATATTCTTAGTAATTTCAATCTAACCATAGATTCCTAACCTAACTCGAGAATTGTAGGTGCAAATAAAACAATATCAACGGATTAAAACGCGATTCATTATTTTAAGTACGTCACGAAAGTTTACTTTCCGTGGAATATTAGAATTTTAGTCGTGTCGTAGTTATTGTTTTTGCGATTCAGATAAATTTTTCGCATTTTAACTATTGTAAAGTTTGTTTACAGGTATGCCTAGTTAAACAACCTTAGTTAATCAAATCAGATTGTAATTTTTTTTTTATGAGAGTTGAGGACAGAAAAGTATGAGGACTTTGTTTAAAGGTAATTATATACACCAGCTATGTAACAGGCTTTGGGATATTAGGACATCCACAGTCTTAAACCGAATCGCGATAATATTTGACGGGTTTTTTTATCTGTGGACGGTGGTTAGGTTATCCCTACCACCCATTTCATATCTATATTATTCGTCAAAATTATATATAACAAGGAAAAAACTTGCCAACTCGTTAATCTTATTCGCTAGTAATTTAGAAGCCCACATTTTATATGTTATATGTCAAAACACGTAATGTAGCGAATTGTATTGTATTTCGTAATACCTATTGTCTTGTAGATTTGTAGTTCTAATTCGAGTTTGTTCACCTGGGCGAGTGGATTTTATGTCACTCCATTCGTAATATCGCAGTCGAAAAATTTACAAAAGATAATTTTACACATAGCTTCATTAATAAGCGTTTATTATTAAAGTACGAAATATGCTATCGTCAAACACGTCTTCTCCTAGACGTCTATTTGTATATGTATAACTAACTGATAAACGGTTTCGCTTTCCGCCTTTGGATTTCCGAATATCCAAAGACAAAATAGATCGCCAGCTCATCTTGTTTAGATGTCCCTCCTTTGCAAAACATTTTGTTAAAGTAGGATACGATTTGTAAAAAATAATAACGACGTAATTGTAAATAGGTGGGCTTCTGACGGAATTAGCTAATAGGTGGTAATTAACACACAAAGGATGGTGTAACGCGTTATTATGTGTACATGACATTGGCTTAATCAAAACGGTCTGTGCAACAGATTAACGGCCAAGTTATTCGCTATAGTGTAATTTGTGAAAACCCAATTTCGTCTATGGGGCATGGGGCAAAGGCATTTCTGTTTCTATTTCACTGATTAATTGCATTTATAGGCAAGTAGTTGATAAGAATGTTGACCTTGGGGGTTGAAAAAGTCTTACGTATCCCGCGATTCGAATCTACGAACGGTAGTGCTTAACGCAATGCTAAGGAACACATTTTAATCATAAGAAATAGTAGATGACGTATTAGTAATAAATATTTTCGTGTTTTGAGTGAAACTTAAATATGAAAGTTTGTAAATAAACTATAATCAAATCAATGTACAACTTTAGCATGCTTCTATCAAATTATTCAAAAGTTTGTTAGGTTATGCCTTAAAATATTATCACAAAACCAATAACACTGCATGTGTATATAACAGGGGCTGTAATCGCTAAACATTACAGACGCGTAATAAATATTTGCGTAAGAAAATTTGAATAATAATTGAATAGAGACAATTTGCAGGTCACAGCCTCGGCGCAGGAGTGGCGGTGCTGGTGGGGATAAAGCTGAGGCCGAGATATCCGCATTTGAAAGTGTTTGCATTTTCTACGCCAGGTTAGTGATTAAACAGTTAACGTAAACACTTAATTAGTGTTTTAAAACTTAGTTGTACATGAAAGCCACGTTAATAATGATCGTGGAAAATTTGTCTATAAGTTATAGAAAACGTATGTGAATAAACAAAGTCTTTCGAGACCGATGATGAAAGAAGTAAAAATAGATTATTTATTGTTTCATTGCTCTTTTCCTTTAAATTCGAACTCAGAGAGTCACTTTTAATAACATTACCTGGGTCACTTAACGCAAGACAGAAAACTGCATATATATTTAAAAACTCACATTCATTATTTCTTATTGCAATGACAAAAAAACACAGTAAAATTGTTTATTTATTGTATCGATTTTATTTAGAAGCAAGTAATCTCACGATATCGCATCGCTTACATATTAGGTTAAATACTTATACGTATTTGGCGATTATCAGGTTCAGATGGCAAAAATAGTTTTTAGAAAATATAAATTCGATGTTGTAAGTGTTAAAAACGTGTTTGGTATAACTTAGTTTTGTTATTCGCAGCGGGGCTCATAAGCCGCGAAGCTGCGCGCTACACAGAAAGTTTCGTCCTAACAGTGGGCGTTGGAGACGACCTGGTGATGAGGTTAAGTGTCCATAGCATAGAAAACTTAAGGACTAAAGTGATACAGACTATACACGCCACTAAATTGCCTAAGGTAGGTTTGTTTATAACAGATGTTCTATATATATATTTCTCATATATTAAACGGCGAAATAACTTAACATTGTCGTTGTACCTTGAAGAGGCCGTCGCGGCTGCTGCAAAGTATCCCAAACGTCAGTTAAAATAAATTGTGTACTCGCGTACGTTCACAGAAAATACTTGACTTTTTATTATATAAAATGGAGATCGGGTGTCACTAGATGGAAATTAAAGAGCCCCAGTTCTGTTATAGAACTGGGGCTCTATAAAATGTATTGTTGCCCCATTTTGACTTTTTTCTTTTTTTTTATTCAAAATTATTTTATTTATGGACGATGGTTCCTACCACCCGTTTTATATCAGGACGTTTAAAAAATACGGAGCTTTAAAAATATGTTGGAGCGCACATTAATTGGAACCCACAACCCGATTATGTGCCACAAATACCATTAAACTATTATTAAACACGCCCATAAAAACAGAACAGAGTAAGTCCCCCCCGTAACCATGGCACGTGGAATCATCTGAAACGTCGGTCCGTAGTTAAATTAAATTATTTCGCGTTTTAAACCGTTAAAAGTGATTTATTTACACTTATTGCTATTTCAGTATCGCATAATGCTCAACGGATTCGGTTACGCTCTCTTCGGTGTGCCAGCGCGAGACCTGGAGTCAACATGGAGACGGCCGGAAGACCTGGAAGCGAATCATTCGGACGATTCCACAGACGCACTCCTAATCCAGGGCGTCTCCACCGTGAGTGCTGTCAGTAAATCTCAATATTTTCAGGTCAATGTGTGTTGTGCCGTGGCTTCATTTTCATTCTTTGTTCATGTGAAGGTAAGCGCTGCATGGTCATTCTTTGGTGTATAATGGGGCTCGGAAATTAGTTAATATCCTCATAGACACGCGACTGACTAGGAATAAACGTACAAAGAACGGTATTGATATGAAGCCGCTAGAAGCAGAGTAGCCTAACTGCAACTTTATGACTCGACTTATTTGTGACCGAAAATTGTTAACAGAATTCTTAAACAATATAATAATAATACAAATTCATTAAGCAACTCTTCCTCATAAACAAAATTTTGAGTATATTTATAAAAAAGGATGACAGTAAGTTATTAGTTAAAATTGTTATTCGCAATCAATAAAATGGAGTAATTAATTTACGACCAATAAATTAATGTATGTATTTTTTTAAAACCCTAATTACATTGAAATACAATGACACGGGCGGAAATTGAACCGGTATCCACGGTGCTGCTTTAAGCAATTGAGATAACGTGCCAAACTAAATAGATTCTTAATTTAGTTAACTTATTATTCAGCAATACGTTCAAGAATCGTTGGGTCGTAAATGAAAATTAATCAGCTTATAAAGCCGCGTTTTAGACCGTTACCAGTATTTTATATTATGTGTACTCGATTGAACGTCAAATCTAACAGAAAGCTTAATAAATATTTAACAAATTTTATCCAGCATTGTTTGTACCTGAACCACTTTGAATAAGAAAATCTTACTGCTTCCGGGCCCTACTTCTTTTAATTTGCCATAAAGGTAAGCAAGCATTGATAAACTGGATTTAAAATCGTTATCACAATCTTTATAACAAAACATAAACATTCTAAAACTCAATATGTCGTAGAAACATGTGTTCTAACATTTTTTTCATTTCTTATAACACACTTTTAACAGTTAAACCGCTCTATATTATAAACTTAAACGGTAAAACGGTTTTAAACCGTTAAAAGTGTTTTGTTGCGCGACTCGCGTAAACGACGCATAAATAACTTAATTATAATGTATGTTTACTAACATTTTTACTATTGTTGTATTTTGGTAAAATTCTTAATCAATATTAACCTATAATACACGCTAAATTACAGGAGGCAGCGCTAGTCTCGCGGAATGTATTTACGCGAAGATTTTCTTCAGCTCGACTGTTCACTCCTGGAAGAATATTACATATCGTTCGGCGCAAACGCATGGGAATTGAAAAGTAAGTTTCGCAATATAATAGTACCGGTTCTTTATTTAATGCGTATAAATTTATATGCAAGGTTATACCTATTTAACTACATGTGAGGGTAGTTTGGAAATAATGTGTAATTTATTTTCATGCTACGTTTAGTGAAACTGAGGAGGAGAGGTAAAAATTGTGATTTTCATTAGCAAAATATTACTAGAGCTATTCCTATCTAAAAAAAAAACAAGAATAAACTGTTATTGTATCAATGGAATAATTTACCCATCGTCCTAAGATCAATCATGTCTCATTAGTTCCAATCTGTGACAGAAATGTCGATAGCGCATCCTATTTAGTTGTTATGCTTATCCTCCTCTAAAAAAATAAAACAACGTATTACGATTTCAGAAAAGTGCGTATCCAAGAGCCAACGTACGAGATGAGATGGGCATGCGCAGAGGACTTCATGGAGTTGCAGGTGATGCCGCGAATGCTGCTCGATCACTTGCCAGAAAACGTACATCGTACTATCGAGACCATAGTGAACGAGAAACACCACTATCGGGTCACAGCTGTTATATAAGTACAATTATAGATTATAGGTATAGGTCCCAAACACTTGCCCAAGGCACTGCAGCAAGCCAAACGCGTAACTTAAGTTTGTAATACATTAAGATGGTTAGTACCAAGATTACTCTCTACTTTACTTGTAACTATTTTAAAATGTGGGTAGGACGTAAATGTTATCAGTCTACCTCCTTTTTCGTAATTGTCAAACTATTTTTTACGTATCGAAATAAATGTAGACAAATTTATACGTACTCTCTTTGTTTAACTAAGATAACTTTTAGTAATCGACAACAATCTTGACCAATATTTTCTACATTATACTCGTACGCATTTTTACACTTCATTAGTCTCAAACTTGCTAAGCATTTGTAAAGTTGTTTATGATTTATTTCGATTTTTTAATTAAAGCATTTTACAGCATGACCACGATATTACGTGTTACTAGTCTAATGAGCAACACGAACAGATCACACTGTCGTAAAAGGTGCAAAAGAATTCGCATATTTTACTGACTTGCTAATTGAAATGTATCCGTTGTAAATAAATGTTGTAAATACTATATAGGTGTTAGATGTAAGCGAAATGTGAGAAGACTGTGATGATGTTTTTTATTGAGAAATATTCCTGTAAACAACAAAACCGCGGCAAAGCAAGTATCTAATTGTAACTTTGACATGGACGGGGCAAAACTTGCTTAACGCGAAAGCGTTATAGATATCAGCTTATGAGAGTTGAAAACTCGCGTAAATTTCTTTGCTCAAAATTAAAGCAATCTCTAATCGACAATTGTTAGTATTGTTTGTAATTATTTATTTCTCGATTGGGGGCCTGTGTTTAGTTCGGTGCGTTGCCAGGGACGATGTTGTTTTAATTTGGTCACTTTAAAATTTGCAACGCATTTAGACATAACCGAGGTCTGAGGCTCAAATTCGGTAAGGTCTGCTACGAAATGGTGTTATCTGGTTTCCTAACTCCGTATTGTAAAACTAAACTTGAAAATGCGAGCCTTAAACGCTACCATTAGTACAATAATTAGATAATTAAGATGCATTGTTACCGGTGTCAATTAATTTAATACAAATTATAATTTAAGTGTTTCCTACGATACAAACTAGAACCTATTAATGTAAGCATATCGTAGCACATAATATTGTTTTATAGAAAGGTTATAATCTCGTTTATTAGACGTTGTACAAGCTAGTTGCTTCGATGAGTTCTCAATTAACTTATGAGTGATATCAAGTTGCAGCGAGTTTTTTTATTTATTTAAAGCGAGAGAAAGGTTAAATCCAATATGTGGGCGCTGACACCACAGACGAAGTGGTTATCTATGATAAGATAAGGAAAATAATGGGAGAGCGGCGGGAATTTTAAACGCCTTTAAAAATTGTTGAATATTTTGCAGCGTAAAATGTCTTGCCCGAGTTATTGAATAGCATTTTTATCACATTCCAAGTTTATGATAGTAATAATTGATTTTTTTTTTCGTTCGATAAAATTTTAATGAAAATCTAAAGTTGGTGATATATATATATAAACTTATAGCTTTTTAAGAAAATTCTTGTTTTTAATACTCTATCTGTATTGTAAGTTATTTTGCCTAGAAACTGTTTGAAAAATGGTGAATGGCTCTGTTAATTAAATACTGTCTGTAGCAGATGCGCCTAGTAAACATTTAAATAAAACAATTCAACGGTTTAAAACGCGATACATATTAGTTAAACTTATTTGAAAATGATTTTTAGCTTTGACCCTACGTTTCGGGTGCTGGGCAAAATAGGGAAGACTGCCTCAAATTAAAAAACACCTGGGATCCCATTTTTAAAAACTCTGTATGCTAATAAACAGCATACCGGCAAACGCGAAGACACCGTTAGTCATTTCTGCAGGAACAGATGGCGCTAGCGTAGCAATTTTTTACTTTGCCGTCAGAGACATCCTCCATCTTTAGTCTCCCCGTGACCACGGTTGCTCCAAAGCATCCGAAACGTCGGCCGAAGTTAAAAATAATCTTAAAATAAGTTTACCTAATACATATCGCGTTTTAAACCGTTTTATTTAAATGGCGCTGTTAATTTACATATTGCAGATTTTATTCAAAGTTACTTAAAGCATATCTGTACTTATATTAAATGGTTTATATTTTGTTTCGATATTTTTCCTGGCAATTTTGATATTACTTTATTTATCGTTTTTTTTAACGATTCGATTGGCCTCTGGTATACTTTAAGATCAATTAGCTAAGGTTTCAAGATCAACTAAGGCACTCTAAATAGACGAATCTCAATATTTTTAATATCAATTAATATATTAAACAATTTCAGTATTTTGTAAATAATATACTTTTTTACTTATTGTCCGTTCACCTCTTGTTACTTAACTGTTGTAAATTCGAGTATTAGAAGGACTGATGTTCTTTTCACTTGTACCCTAAATTAGGGCTTTATTCTCACTGTATATTCTAGGATAATACCAATATATTGTGTTGGGTTTGTGTTAATTTATAATAAATATATTTTAAGTAAACCGTACTAGTTTTATTTAATAAAGAGAAATTTTTCTACAACTGGCGGGAGAGAGATCCAAGTTATTTTAATTTAGTGCACAGATCTAATAGAAGAGAAAAATACAACAGCATAGTGGCCATCTCTCGGCTAACAAAAGAAACTACAACACGAAATATTATATTCTCGGCTACAACGTTTATATGAAAATGAACATAAAATATACGTTAACATTACAAAAATTATTATATTCGTCAAAAAATGTTTGTCTGTCTGTCGTGATTCTAAAAAGTGTTCCAAAAAGCAATAAACTCAGTCCGGCTTTTGTAAAACTCAAACCATTTATTTCACAAGACAGAATCAACTTATTAGCTTAAGAACTAAATAAAAAAGAAGAAGAAGATATACAAAAAGTTGATAAGCACTCGGCATGTGCTTCACCACCCAGAGTAGAGGATAAGCACCGGTTTTCAGTGCCCCCGCAGGGCCCAATCCCCAGGGAAAAGGTACCAACAACTACGAACTTTTAGTGAACTAAACTTTAAAAGTAAATCAATTTAGAATAATGTATGATATATATATTTTAAACATTTCTTATAAGCTATTTTTTTATTTAATTGATTAACCCAAGGAGCAATGCACATATGACATTGTTAATCGGGATATGGAATTTGTTATTGTAAAGGATGCTGCTAGACTTAGAACATTAAATTTACCTGCATTATATTAAAATTAAAAAAAAAAACAATTTCCCTGAAATATAAAGTTAATTCTAATACAAAATAAATGGTAGTCACGTATTAAAGTAATAATCACATAAAAGAAACAAGAACTGATCACTAATACGTTTAAAAACAAGGAAATTTAAATTCAATAAGAAAAACCTATTAGGAATCGCACATTGCCCTCTCAAGGGCGGGTATCGTAACCTCCTTTAACATCCCCACATTCTTTGTGTCTTGTCTCAAAACCTTTACAATATAATGCAAAATTAATCCTACCCTCATAAATTTCAAAAACAATCTTAAAAAACCTATGAGGAATCACTATTTCCTTCAATTCAGGACTATCTGAAAATAATAAATAGAGATAATAAAAAACCAGTTAAACCTTACATTTTACTTAATGAAAGAGTATAATTATAAAAATATGTCTCTCTATCAGTCGATTCATAATCATATCACAGGAATAATCGAATAAAGCACAAACGAGCGATTCAAATATTTTTGGTATAGGTTATAAAAATTCTTTGCATCGAGATCATGTATCGCTTTCTCCAATATCATCTAAGAAGATTCCGAAGTTCTGTCATGGCCGCTTGGGAGACGGCTGTTTTCTTGCTTTCTGATTTGTATCTGCAAGTTTATGTATAATACATAAATGTGGTAATAAGTTAGTAAGTTGGAAGGGCAAATCAAGGGTGGGTAAGGTAATGGTATGTTGGTAAGGCTAGGCATTCTTATCGTGATGACTTCTATCATTGGCCTTGCACAAACTTTGACTCCCTAGATAAAATTATTGTCCTTATTTCATAAGAAAAACGAAGAATTTAAATAAATGTTTTTAATTAAAATATTAATGCTTATCTTTATCTAGTTGTAGAAGAAAATGTATTTTAACTGTTTAAATAAAACACTTTAACGGTTTAAAACGCGATTATTAGTAGTAAGTAACTAATATAGCGCGTTTTAAACCGTTTAAGTTTTTTATTAAAATGTGTACTACTCGCGTAAGCTATAGAAAGTATTTATTTGGACTGTGTTAAGACATCAAACTTCCCTTACATTTTAATAAACTCATTAATCAACAAAAAAAGCTTTACATCTCTGTGGGCCATGGGACGAACACATTTCCGTGTCCGTTTCACTGATCAGTTTTGTTTATAGGCAAAATCAGACTTCTATATCCTGGCCGACGGAAACAATCCATTGTTTTCCCGGTATCCGAACCCAGGACCTCTATAAGTTTAAGCATTTAGCTACAGAGACGGTTACATATTAAATGTAGCGTAAGATATACTTTATGCCCTTCAAAGGACGACTGCTCACCTATTGATAAAATCATACGCAATGTCTGGTCTGTAGACTGCCATATCTCTTAGATAAGCCTGGTCGTTGCTAAGAGTGCGTCTGTAAGCCAGTTCACGCCACGTTTCTCCAGTGCTTCCGGCCAGTAGGACTAGACCTTCGAGGAAACTGGAAAACATTGGGAGATATAGATAGTACTGTAAGAAATAAGAAGTTCAAAATATTAATGTGACAGTTTTTTTTAGATATAGTTTGTCGTTTACTTTAATAAAGCACTCGCAACGGTTTAAAACGTGAAATATATTAGTTGAACTTCTTTTTATTTTATTTTAGAACGGTCACGCATTCCACACGCTACTGTAAATGAAAACTTTGTTTAACGAGCATATTTGGCGTTTAAAACCGTTGAGATGTTTTATTACAAATATCGATTGTAATTGATAAAATTTTCAGATGCTTACGTAAGAGGACGTATGACAAACGTGTACAAATAAAATAGTGTCCGTAGTTTATGCGAGTTGTACAGTTAAATAAAGCCGCTTTTAACGGTTTAAAATGCGAAATGTATTAGGTATACTTTACTAATTATTTATACTTAGGCCCGATGTTTATCTCTCTCTTTCTCTGTTTTAAAACGGTTAAACAGGTTTTATTTAATAAATTAGCATTTACATAAATATATAAGCTTTACAAAAGCAGAAAGATCATACCTCAAATACTCGCTGACCAACGCGTACATTTGTTCCGTACTCCTCTTCAAAATAAGCCTAGTAGGCGACGCATTCAATAACGAGATCTGCAATGCTATACGCTGCGCAAGAGTTGCCATCTCACCAGCGCTCCCCGTGCAACCACCCTGGAGGTAAAACTCTGCCGCGTCACTGCAATGATTAAGGGCCGTCTCCAACATCGTTCTAGTCGGAACATTGTCGTGTATCTGTGGCCATAGGGGTTGCGGAGACTTCTTGGTAAGTTTGACGCCATCTGTCGCCATTTTCTCCAGATCGTCAATCAAGTCCATCGCCTGCTTCCGTTTGACGTTAGCGGCTTCCGCGAACATGTTGAAGTGTAATGCAACCATGATGTAAGTGTCCGTGTCTCCCGGACAGTGCGTTTTCAGGAAGTCCAGCAGCCCGTGTTTGAATTCCGCTATCTTATCTTGCTTCTGACCGAGCATGTAGTCGAACTGGCCCAGAAGGTATTCAAACTGATGGTTCTCCCTCAGAGCCTGAAATGTAAAAAAGAACATGAATGGTGCCCATGTTTTATTATTTTATTATTATTATATGGGAGTAGTAGACATTGAAATAAAAGACTTTAACGGTTTAAAACGCAATATATATTAGTTGAACTTATTATTTTAACTGCGGCCCAACGTTTCGGATGGTTTACAGCCTGGAGATGAAAATGTAGGGTGTCTCTAATGTCAAAGTAAAAACTACTACGGAACAGATGGCGCTTGCGTAGTAGTTTTTATTTTGACAACTTTGTTAGTCTTTTATTTAAATGTTATTGAGATCTAATAATTATACTAGTAATTCATACAGTTAGTATAAATACACTTTTACCGGCGCTATAGATTATATTCTAATGTCATGTCGTGCGTGCATGTGTGCGATTTATATCGATAATTAATTTACTCAAATTGTACAAGCTGGTTGTATGAGCAGCATTATTCAAAGAGGAAACAGTCTTTCACAATTTGACTCAGTAGTTCCTGAGATAAGCGCGTTCAAACAAACAAACTCTTTAGCTTTATAGTATTAGTATAGATTAAATTGTATGCATACCTGTAAGATGTACGCGCACTCAGTGTACCGCGCAAGCCCAGTCAACAGCCGCACCATGAGTCGCCATGAGCGAGCGCTTAGAAGCCTAGCCGCCAGCGCCTGCGCCGACCGCAACACGACGGCCACGCCCTCTGTGTCGCAGGCGCAAGAAAAACACTCGTGAGCCAGTACTAGCAGCTCTATAGATATTGTGTTTACCTAAAAAGAAAAATATTTCATACGTTTTTTTAGCATCATATATGACGTTGCTTCATATATAAATAATACAATGGGATCGAATCCCGGGAAAACCATCAATTTGCGTCGGTAGTAAATAATACAGTCTCACCCCGCCCCATGCTCCACATGTAAATATTAGTTAATGGGCTAGTTAATTGGTCATTATACAGGGTGTAACATTTACGTCGAACAGTTACAATTTCTCAAGCGTACAAAAGAAAAGACAAAAATTAGATATTGTCACCGACTGTAGAGACAAAAGACAGTAAATGTCTAAAACGTAATAATAATTCACCTGACGTTGTTACCTACTATTGTAAAATAGCAAACGCGTTATTGGTTCGAACACTATTTTAAATAAGTATTGTCAGTAATTTATCGTCACTGCCTCCGTGGCCACGACTGCTACAAAGTATCCGAAACATCAGAGTAGTAAAATAAAATAATTAATATACTTCGCGATTTAATCTGTTAAAAGAAACAAAAAAACAAATAGTATTGTTGTAGTATGGTGAAATATATTAAGAAATACATAGTTAAGTTGAGTTGCTGCTCGAAAAGGCCGGATCGTAGTTAAAATTAGGAACCTAATATCGCGTTTTGAACCGTTAAGTGTATTATTTAAATAATGCTGTCAACTTGCCTGCTTCGTCGATAGCTTCGCCCCCTTAGTGATCTTTCGTATACTCGACTTGACTTCGTAGCGTATGTGAACGTTGCTCTTAGAAATAACATCAAAGAGATTCCGCCGCGTGTCCTTAGTCATCTTGTTTCCAGGTGCATACACCGTGGACACCGAAAACATGGACTCCGTCTCCGCTGACATCAACGTCCCTTCCTCGGTCAGTATCGACTCGATTTCATCACCATCAAGGTTCTGGTACTCTTCGTCGATCAGGGTTTCCACATCCAGGCAGCTGTCGTCCAAGATGTTCTCTGGTATTTTAATAGAGCTGCTCGCTTTGTAAATCTTCTGGAACGCTATCAAATGGTCCAGGATCAACCTGCCGATGTGGCTGCAAGCTTCCGGGCGCATATTGAGGAACATTTCTATATCCGAATCTAGCACGTAACCCCAGAGCGTGTATTGAAAATGCTCCTTCTGTCGGAAGGTTGAGGTTTTGACTAGATGCGGCGATATAACCGCGGATACCATTTCCCTGCAGAGATATTCGGCGATCTGAAATTATAAAATAAATATAGATAAGCATTTTAAAACTTAATCTAGGACACGGCAGCTCTCTTGGGTAGGACGAACGCTGTGGTTAAAGTCCCATCTGTGTTATGCCATCGTGTTTAAATGAAAAATTATTTTTTTTAAAACAATATAGAAAAAATAAAACTCATAACACTAAATCTTTGAAATTAATCTTTGATAAATGTTATTGTTACCTGCTTTGTAGGTACATTAAACGTCCGAAAGACTAGATTGGCCAAAGTCATCCGTGACTTTCCACTGACTAGGCTGATGAAGTCCAGGGCTCGGTTGTGACACTTTAACACCGACATGTAATCCCACCCGATTTGCAACGCTATGCGAAAGTAATTCGCAATCTGGAAATGGCAAATAGAAACTGGTTTTTATGTGTCAATTACTATTTTTGAAGCACTAAATTGTTATCTATGTCTCTTGCTTTTGTTAAATAAAAGAATATATTCCAGGTTTTTTTAAACCTATTGATTTAATCAGATGCGGAAGAAAGAAAAAGAAAGAATGAGAAGAACGTACTCGTTCTTTTACGCTCCTGGATTAGAAAAAAAAGTTAAATCCTTTTATTTTTTTTTAAAATGATATTTAAATAAAATACTTGACGGGTAAAAACGCGCAATATATAAAATTATTTCACTGGGAGTCTTCCCGTGACGGCTGCTGCAAAGCATCCGAAACGTGGGACCGTAGTTGAAATAAAAAAGTTTAACAAAAATATTTCACGTTTTAAGCCGTTTACAGTGTTCTATTTAGATTTGTACGAATCGTGTAAATAATAGACAGTTTTTTAAATTATATTTATGACCTTCTTATGTGATTGGTTTCCTGTATAAAATATAAATAGTCCTGGGTTCAAATACCGCGAAAACCATAAATAATTTCGTCTGAGAAGTGAAGTCGTCATTAAACACACTCCAATCCCCCCCCCCCCCATTTGCCCCTATAATTATAATTATAAGATGCTAGTTTCGTGGCCATTAATTATTTTCTACCTGCTTAACAATACTGAGACCACTTTTAACAGCGAGCGCATCCAACGCAGCCAGCCGATCGGCCTCTTCCCGCACAGCGAGATGTGGGATGCTGCCGTCGTCTTGACGCTCTTGTATTACAACTAGTTCTTCGAAACTCGTGTCTGACGTCTCTGAAACTATAATTAACAATGTTATGGAAAAATATACCTTAACAGCTGTGTTAGCGGCTTCGTCTACGTAGAATAGTGATTTTGGGCATAACAACTTGTTGGTGCAAACCTCCTCTATAAATTAAAAATCGATTATAAATTGAAAAAAAAATTACGACACGGGCGGGACTTCCACCAGCGTCCACAGCGTTCCGTGCTGTTGCTCTAACCAAGTGCTCGTGTCGAGCCAAGTGTCACTTTTTTTTTCAGTTTATAGTCGATTTTTAATTTATATAGTGCCATCATGTGAAATAACATAAAAATATTAAAGTTTTCAAATCTCTTGTTTATACATTACAGCTGTTACACACAACCTCGGTCTCGTCCCGTCACTTTTGCATGTTAATCTTATAGAATTTATCTTATAGACATCGTCTTGGACATTTTTAAAATCATGAGTAATTTTCCCCGTTTTTACCACATAGTGACGTTTTGTAGCCTTAATACTTCCTAGATAAGTGGTGTATGCAACACAAACTACTGTTTCAATTCGGATCAGTAGTTCCTAAGATCACCGCGTTAAAAGAAACTCTTCAGCTTTATTTATTGGTATAATATCTATCTCTAAGTCTTATATATGAGTCTAAGGTGTATGTTCTCTAGACAACGACAACTTACCTGACAGTTTATGCTGCAGGGTCGGCGAGGAAATTACCAACCGAAGGTCTTGCGGTAACTCGTATGGGGTGCAAGTGCCCTCAGCAAGTTTTAAACATGTTCTCATTATTTGCACCGGACAAGCTGACCTGCAGAGAAATTCATCCGCCACCTTGAAAAGTTTCGATAGACGAAACGCTTCCACAATTAACTTCATCTCTAGAAGCCGGTTAATAGTCTTCCTCCAGATATCGATATCCTCATCGTCCAAAGTGACTACCCTCTCAATGTTCCCGACGTCCGACTCCACTTCGATCTCGTGCAACGTCATACAAAACGGCTGATCGGTAGCCGTCCCATATTTTCTGCAAACGTTCCGCTGTAAACTCAGAGTGAAGTTCAGGGTACTCTCATAAGTGTCCAGGAGAATTGAGTCCCGGTTTTTCGAGTGGAAGAAGCAGGTCCACATGCTGTGTTCGGTGTCTTCGCGGGCTGGACCGTACTCGTGGTGTTCGTCGAACCAACTCATGATAATTCTGTACGCGTAGAACTTTTGTCCGACTTGTGAAATGTTTTGGACGAGCGAGTGGAGGAACTGGGTCGCTCGTCTGCAGGTAACGCCCGTAGACTTAAAAGCTCCACTGCAGTCAGCTATGAATTTCACGACGTCTTCATCGCATAAGGGGTTTTCTCTGTCCATATCTTTTAGGAAGCCTTCGCTCTTACGACGCCATTCCGTGACTATTATGTCGTCTATGGGTAGTGCGGCCATTTTGGCGATTTTGAAAGCGACGTCGTTGCATTTGTTCTTGTACGCGTCGAGGCATTCTAGGAGATAAGTATCGGAGTTGTCTTCGAGTAACTTGGATATGTTGATGATGCTGGATGTTTCCATGGATAGTTTCATTATCTCGTACATTGTTGAGAAGTTGGGACAGTAACCTGAAAAAAATATATAAGTACATATATATATATATATTATTTTTGCTTAGAACAATGTTTTTACAATTTAAAACCTGGCGGTTTGATTATAATTAGTACGTATTAGTATGCGTAGTACACATTTAAAAGCACTTTTAACAGTTTAAAACTCGGCATATAGTAGTTAAACTGTTTTATGTACTTTAACTATGACATTGACTTTAAGGCCCACTCTCCATCATCAGATTTCCGAGACCACGGCTGCAGCAAAGCATCCGAAACCTCAGGTCCTAGTACAAATAGGTATACTTCGGGTTTTAAACTGTATTTTCAGGTTGCAACAGAAATAAAAATGACAGCTACGTAAGTCTTATACCTATAAAGGACTTTCCAAAGTCAGCATCGGCCAGACATTTCAGAAGCTCCTTCTGATGGTGCGCACTCTCGAAATTATGGGTCAGCGCTGTCTTCACGAGTGCAACGGCGATATTTTGAATTGAATGCGTCGATAGATCCCACGGGAAACCATTACTGTTATCCGAGCTGTACTTTCTTTGGCAATGAAGCAAGAACTTGGCTAGAGTATTACTGGTTTCACCGTCAAATGTTTGTAATTTGATGCTTCTATATAGAAATTCCGATAGAAGCGATAACGGGTTATCCTGAAAACAAAAAAAATAAATGTTTTATTAACTTCTATTAATCAAATGAGTAACAGAAAAGTGCCAACGCTCTTGTTACGCTAGTACACATTATTTAAATAAAACACATTAACGGTTTAAAACGCGACATATATTAGTTAAACTTATTTGAAAATTATTTTAACTACTTCCCGTCGTTTCGAATGCTTTGCAGCAGCCGAGGCCAGGGGGAGCGTACGAGTCCGCGTAGCGTGGGTAACATCTAAATAAACTGCTTCTGACGGTTCATAAGGCGAATTAAAGTAGCCACGCCGAAAATCCGCCCGTGGCTACCGCCGTTGGCTGCTGCAAAGCATCGGCGGCGTTAGACCGTAGTAAAAAAAAATCTAAATAACTGATTTACTTTGTAATAAAAAAAGGCATGAAGTGAACCACACAAACGATACCATTTCACCGTATGTTCTCAATGTAATTTCGACCTTAACACCTAACCTTTATGTGCCTTATGTGTTTAGGTGCCTCATGTACATTAATAATTTTTCGAAGTGTAGTCCAGATTTTCAAAGCTTTAATATATAAAATTTTCAATACTTACAGACATAAAGATGAGTGTCGACTCGTATAAGGTGGTGATGTAGCCTTCCATTAAACATAACGAAGCGATCCTCAAAAACAGTTCTGACGGAGGCTTGCCAGTTATCTCTGCCTGCAAATCGTGGCGGTCGCAAGTACGCGTGTCTATCGATGCCAATATCCAATGCGCCCACAATATATCCACGGCGTTTGGCTGAAATATTCAATGGTAATTTTTAATGAATGAATAGTTATTTATTGATTACTCTGTATTGATTTTTTTTAAGTTAACACCTCACTTTGGTATGGTTACGTGTACAAAATAGTTGGGCTAAGCCATAACAAGTTTAGATTAAGAGCTTGCGATTTCGTCGGTGTGTTTCTGGGTATCATGAACTGTTTTCGCGGCACACACAACGGAAGCCCACAAAGAAGACTCATATAGATTTTCGTTGGCACCGAAAGTAGCTGTGCAGATATGGCACGGGAGTCAACGCCTATGTCAGTGTGGATAGTTAAAGTAATTATTTTTAAGTACATGTAATAATATAGGGTTCCTAATGACCTAAACATATATTTTTTTTTAAATCATCTTAAATAATATTTGTACTTAAATAGTACAAGCTCGTCCAAACTAGATTAAGTTAAAAGATGTAAACAGTCATTTTAAGGAAATAAAGGCTTTTTTATTTTTATTTTATTTATTTTACATGTTATAAAGTAAACCCTATCGACTTTTTATACAACAAAAAAATGTGGATGTTATGTGGGTGAGTGTGTGGGCGTGCCTCCTTTTATACCAACAACTAAAAACAAAAATAAAGAAAGACCAAAAGCTTTTTTATATGTGTTCCTGGGTTATTCGTATACGTTTCAAATCAACGTATTAAGTACGCCAAACTACAGCTAACTATTTACTATATTGATTACCTCATAGCAACTAGCGATGAGCACGAGCAGAGGTTCCCTATACAAGTCAGCAGCACGTAACAGCGCTGCTGGTGGATCTTCAGGCCCGTGACAGGCAGCCGCCACCTCCCATAGCTCTCGACCCATCACAGAGTTAGATGGAAACTCAAAGTTTGTCCCTTGTGTGGGGCTCTGTAATCAACAATTTAGGCTGATAGAATTTTAACCAATACAGAACTGCTATGAAAATAAATAACCAAGTAGATAATACACAGGGACAGGAGAATAAACAAATATTCTCCAGCTTAATGAAATGAAATCTGGTAATTTCTAGAAATTGGAACAGAATCCGCATTTACATGTTAATCTTAAATTAAAAAATGGCGTCATACTATTTATTTATACACATTCATAACTATACTATAAAGGCATATTCGTACTCACAATATCAGCTGAATTCATTCTCGTCGCCCGCCTCTGGCCATTGCTTGAAATATACTTGTGTTCCTTGTCGTCTTCCACGCTCTTGTGCAACATAATATGCTTCAAATGTTCAGCATACGATTTCTTTTCAAACTCTTGCGACAACTGAAGCATGAGATTCAACGGATACCTAAAAATGTCTCCGAAAAGCAGGAAATCGAACCACGAGTTCTCGCGAATGAATTCGCGCAACTGCATTTCTGGCAGCGGCAGGTTGTGCAATATTGCAAACTTGACCATGGTTTGAGATTCGAAGAGGATCGTTGACATATCAGTTCTGCCAGTTTCCTTTAATTTTCTGGACTTCACGAGCGTTATTTCCTCCAGATATTTGAGCATAATCTTGGCTGTATGCTCATGGCTCTGGACTAACTTTGACATGTAGTCAGTTACTTGTTTATTAGCGTCGATTTCTGAGTAACCCTTATGAGACATCAAGTATTGTTTTATCATTTTCGCTGCTGATATATGAACTCTACACCTCGTCGGGTTGCAACCTATCATGGCAACAAAGGAAATGGCACAAGCTGTCATCGCTGGATCCGACCAATTCTGCAGAGCCAAGGCGTGGGCTTCACAGCATGCACTCTTAATACTTTTATCTTGAAGTCGATTATACGTTTGGTATTGTTGGGCGACAAATGCCTGGCTAGCATTACAGGGACGGTACTGTTTTAAATAATAAACATGGTTCAACTTAGCTTCATAGCCGTATTTCTTCATAAGCTTCTCGTTTGCAAAATCTGGCATATCGATCGATCGCTGTGTCAACAATTCCATTATATCATAGTCTTTAGACAACAGACTACCCAAACTTCGTCGGTCAGATTTATAAGCGAGGCCATAGTTAGTATTTAAATTCATCAATTGAAACTCAAAGATCTTGGAGATATCCAACCCTCGATAGCCAGAAAGTAGTTGATAGACATTTACATCTTTACATTCATATGTGTTGTTAACATCACAGTATTTCTTGTAAACATTGTACATGTGGGGTAACTTGTGTTTATAACCTTTATTCGGTAGTTTGAAATCCTTGAACTCTAAAAACTCTTCTTTCAGAAATATATCAAATAAGTTAGCAGAATCTTCAAGTAGAATCATTCCGATGAATAATTGCGGATTAGAGGATATGTAAGTGTCAATATCTTTATTGGCGATCTGCTGACATGTCTTGTACACCGGCACAACATGACTCTGTCTGTCTGAAGTCTGTTCTATACTTTTGAACAGCAACCACAGTTCAATGCAGTCTCTAGCTTCCACCTCAACGTTAGATAAATCCATGTCCAACATGTGGCTATCGATGCAGATTGTTAGAGCTTTATACAACTTGTTCTTAACAAAATACTTAGCTAGCTCCAAATAAAAGTCCTGATTTGTTATTGTCGCACAAGATTCAGAAAAAACATCGTCAATCAGTTTTAGGTTTTGTGTTCTAGCTAATCTTGACACAATTTGAAATAAATTCTTCCGTTCCTCCTCAATCACTATTCCGTAGGACGACAATGTATCATAGACACACATTTTTGTATAAGCAAAACAGTTACTTTTTATAACAAATATTATCATGTCCTCAGTTATGGACCATTTGCGAAAGATTTTATCAAGATTTTCCAGAATTTCTACACCGAAACCTTTTGTATCAACATTCAAGAGTTTCTGAACAAAGTTTTCCTGATTGAAAAATATGTACCGTGAATTCATGTCTCTTACGACCTCTGACATTTGCACGTTTATCCACCTGACGAGAATCATGGCTTTATTATGATCCACTAAATATTGCCACACATGGTTGGGTGAAGAAAAATCCAGAAGAGAGAATTCTGTAAGCAGTAACAATGTAATAAAAAACTATTTAAAACATAAGATAATATATTCTATTAAAAATTAAAAAGTATATAATAGAATATATATAGTCATAAAAAATAATCTACTGTATTTCATTAACACAGTGGGGATCTATCATCAGGACTGCGATAAATGATTGAAAGAGTAATAACAGTAAAGTAAACAGCACTCCGTGGTTGTAGTTTGAGTCAGCATTAACATTATGTATATAAAAATAGTGTCTAATACACAGTCAACACATATTATTACTTGCAATAGTACTACTAAGATCAATTAATTACCAAAGGTTTCAAAGAAGAGCACTGTTGCAATTTTGTTCTTCCAATCACTGGGATACTTTTCAATTTTTTCAATGGTTAAACTTTTAATTTCACTCTCATTGACAAATACTCTGCCAGTACCTAGTCCAAACACTTTATTTTGTTTGAACTTCCCATCAACTTCAAATGACTTCTCCAGGTATCTCAGCAGATGCCAATGCCTTTGAAAATCTTCCCATCTAGATATGTTCTCAGGTTTCATGTCCTTTGAGATTTTAAGCAAGTTTTCAACCAAGAAGTCTCTATACACAATTTCAGTAGCACTCTGTGCTAATGTCATTAAGTGTTCCTCTGGATTAAAATTGATTTTGTTTAAAATATGGAGAACTTTAAAAATTTGCTTCCTCATTAGCAGTTGAACTGTCCATGCCTTGACCTGAATATGTGAAACAATACTAGTTAACTTATTTTTATATGATATTTCCAGGATCATTGGTCTAATGTTTGGCTAATAATCGATGTTTGTTAATAATCAATGTTTGGGGGCAAATCCCTAGCGAGTCCAACATGTTTCTAATCAATTTATAATTTTTTAAGGACTTGGTCTGTAAAAACATTTCTACCACCCATATAATAATATGGGTGGTAGAAATGTTGAAATTCTGTTTCGTTCAAAGTTTAAACACAACATTAATTGGTTTTGGCATAAGTGCAAAATATGTGAGCTTAATATCTTATTAGGATATATGGCTGAGTATTTCACCTTACATCGAGTAAACTCTGTGTTCGTCTGCCATAAAAACTAAATTAACAATATGTCATTGTAAATAAAAAAAAATGGGTTCTAGTCCTAGATCTAAAACTATTATATGAGTAAAATTTTGTTCAAACAATATTTTAAGTAATATATCATACAAATTAACCTCAGCCGTAAACCAATCTTGAGCAATAGATTCATTCCATCCATTTTTCTTCATTAAATATTGAATAGCCAAGTTAATGTGGGTCCCCTTGGCAGCTGCCTCTCGAACCACATCTCTAGGAGATTTCAATTCCCAAGAGCTCCATATAATCTTTTCATTTTGAGTGAGGCCTTCCATGTTAATAAGCAATCAAACTTATTACTTAATTCATTTCTGCAGAATGAGACCTATGTAATAAGGACATCCTAATTATTTACAATAGATAAGTAACTAGTACAAATAGATAAATAATACATATTTACACCTTAAATCTACCTACATAACAATTAAAAACACAAGATTAATGTTTCTCAAATATTGGAGAATAGTTTTTTGATTATCGCTTTGAACGGGAAATTTCTTGATGTTGTAGGTATTTCGTTAAATAATATTGAACTATTTTTGGTAAACAAAGATTTTCTCAGTCATTTTAAATCCTATGTTAATTGTCAAATTTTGATCTACAAAATACCCTTTTATACTCTGTGTTAATAAATTGCATGTCTATACTCGACTAATCTTCGATTTTGTCTGTTTGCTCTTATTCATAATGTATTATATTACTTAGCAACATAAAAAATATAACATTGATAAGACTTACTGTTTAATAAATATGTCGGACGAATTAGAGAAAGCATTTTTATATTACGATGATATAAACAAGATCAGGGTCCTCGATAACAACGTTATTAAGGAAACTGAAGATTTGAAAAATAACTGTAAAGATTATGAAACAAGTTAGTAATAATATAACAAGTAGTATACATAATTTTTATAATACATCAATTTGTGGATTTAATTGTAGAGGTGCAAGATTTTAGCAAACTAATTAATTCACTACTTGAGGTCATGAAAGAGTTAGGTGATAACGTGGAAAAACAAAAAATGGCTGCTATAGGATCCATAAACTTACTTAAATCCATAACGAAAGAGAGAGAAAGTGAGCAAGCGAAATTACAGGTAACATGTTTTTTTCAATTACTATACAGCCATCATATTATGGTAACACTAATTATAAATAGCGTTTATTTCCAGGCTGAGATAAGTTCTAAAAGTGCTATTTTAGAACAACTGGATAATGAGTATGATGCACTACAAATTTTAGAAGCAACACAAAATGAAACAATTAATTATCTAACCCAATTAAGATAAAGTACTTTTGAGATGCTTAGAAGGTAATTTTCATTAATAATACACGTCTTAGTCTGTAAAAATGTATTTTCAATGATGCACACAAAACAAAATAATTTCTCTACAAAAGGAAATCAACCTGACCTGTAACATGTCTTACGAAAATTAAGTTAATGTTTCAGATTTAGAAAATAACAGATGATTTTTAAATTTACATATATTGTTAACATTACCAAAATCACAATTATGTAGGAACAAGCCAATGTAAGAGTTTATATTTCTTTCCTAAAGAACATTTTAAATAGTAGGACTGACTTATTATACTCTAGTCACTGCCTTATAGAATACAGAACTAGTAATTATACCAAAGTACTAAACCTACCGTCCGAAAATTGTTTACTTCAATTCAAACGTCAGTAAAGCAAACTTATAAGTTATGTGCTAATAAATTTAAGACCATCACAAGCCCAAACTTAATTTAACTAGCACATATTTAATTACTTTCTTTTGAAACAATGAATATATACACAATTTCCTGATACCTGAAAGTAATCCGAAAATATTTGCACCTGTCCAAGGATTGTATTAATTTTTTTTTTAATATTCATTATTAACACTATTACATACCACCAGACACGAGAATAAATTAGGTGTGAGTCTCTTAACTTCAAATAAATGGAATCCAATACTATGCCTTCTCATAACTACCACTTAGTCTAATCTATTTGTTAAGTCAGTTCAAGAATAACTACTCCGATGCAAGTTGTTTTGTCTACAAGTAAACAAAAAACTAATAGTTCCACAAAAACCCCCTTAATACTAAGGAATTAAAAAACTCCGTCCTAAAATGAAAGAGAAGTGCAGATAAACTCAATACAGAGACTTATAAAAGAAGCAGGTACACATATTAAGCGAGAAGTGTAACATAATTTCTGTAGTGCCTTGAAATGTAATGATAAATATTTTTTATCTCAGATGACTGAAGGTAAGACTAAGCTATGTATTTACTTAACAGTTACAGTAAACAATATTGATTTGAGGTCCCAATTCTGCTTTTTAAACTGGAACCATTACCCCTGCATATGCATATCAATGGTCTAGTGTCACCGGTTCGCGAATTGGCAGACTTGAGGCCTAGTCTTGATTAGAAAAATAAATGTTCAGAACCCTATTTATGAACCTAACCACTCCACAATACTTTCAAAGAGTCATCACTATCCTTAACTAAGATTAAACACTTGAAGTCACTATTGAACTCGACAAGGGATCATCAACTTTTGGTCTCTTAACGTCCTGGTTTTCTTCTGGCAACTCCTCAGCGGCCCGTTTCTTTGACTCGGCTTGTCCTATTTCTGGGATAACTGCATCTTTGAACCGTACAATAATAGCAGTCATATTATCACAGCCTGTTCCATCTCCCATTGTGCTAGGAGCTAAGCAATGATCAAACATCTGTAAAAAACGGAATTTCCATCTAAACAATATTTTATTTTATTACTAAACAATAAAATGTTATTTGTTTACTATCCATATCTTTCTGGAAAATCCAAAGAAAACGGTAAACAAGTTAATTGCTTTACAAATGACACACCTGAACGCGTCTTACATTATAATTATATGCATTAAGTTACCTCTTCACATATTTGTGACAGTTTCTCCCGCCCTTCAGCTAACCTGGGTAGAATAAAATCGCACACTTCTTGACTAGACATGTAATTCCATATACCATCGCATGCGAGCACCATAAACTGATCTTTTTCAGGTTCGATTGTCAATCTTTTCACATCAGGCAAAGCAGTGATCATTTGCTCAGTGGCAGTTAAGTCTTTATTTTGTTTGTATGAGTGATCTCCGATAGCTCTTGAGAGATTGAGCCCGCCGTTGATGCGGCCGTCATTTGACACTTTTCCGCCAGCCTTTGTTATTCTTTCCAGTTCTGGAGCGTCTTCGGGCTTATGATCTATCGACATGTCTATGGCTTTGCCTTCTCTGCAGATAATGCAACGGGAGTCACCTGCGTTTGCCACAAACAGCTCGGTACCTGAAGTTAATAATATTAATAAAATTATGCTTCTACCTCTCTACAGAGATGGAGCCACATCAAAACAAAAAAAGGCAAGTTTTTACAATGAAACCTGGATAAATGGGAAACCTCTGGTATTGACAGTTGCAATAAGATCTAAGTTTTTTTTTAAGCAGATTACCTTTGTTGATAGAACTTTTTGAACCTGGTTAATTGAGATTTGAATTTTTCAATGTTTACCTCTATAATTGAAACTCATTAAGTGAGACAAATTAAGCAGGTTTTGAAAACGCGGCAGCCTCTGTTAAAGAGGCAATCATAATCTTAAACCTGCTTAATTGGAAAACTGAATTATTGAAAACCCTCCAAAATTGGTCCCTTTATATCCCAATTAACCAGGTTTCACTGTACTACAATACTGACCTCTCAACAATGCAACTACAGCAGTGCAGCCACTATCATTTCCTGGCTCTTCAGTTGTGGAAATGTCCTCTTCTCCATCCTCATCGCTGGATTCAACCTCTTCCTCCTCCTCCTCTTCTTCTTCTTCGTCTTCTCCTAAACAGGCGTAAAATATAGATTTATGTTACATTTATATTAATTCTATGGAAACCCAAGTGATAATGCTTTTTAAAAAATCAAACTACTAGGAGTATACATAGAATACGTTACAGTTTACAACCAACATTACATTAATATAAGTATATTAAGAATAATTACCATCATTAGATGACTCTTCCATGCCGTTCACAGCTTCCTCCTCAGATGAGTCCACTTCTCCACCTTCAAATGTTTCATCATTAGAGTCACTTTCATCCTCGTCCAAGCTGGCTTGTCGTAGTAACGATTCGTAAACAGCTGCCGCTGCGCGTCGGAGTTTCGACTTTTTAGGTCTATCAGGTAGTGGCTTGTCAGAACTTGATACTGGTGATTTATCTAAGTAAATACAAAATAATGTATTTTACACTTTGGACACTTGAGGTTTGTATATAGTCTTTTATTTATTTTAACTATTTTAGTTTATGTAAAGACTTTTTATCTACTTATGAAATGAAAGAGGCAATATAGACCTTTATTCTTGTCGGGTGTAGCACTGCCATTAGAAGATGAAATATTTTCTTCACCAACTTGTTTTGATTCAGAAACTTCTCCATTGCATACAGCAGATTTTGACCCGTTTTGATCTTTACTGTTTTCACTCTGTTCCGGCTGGTGACAATTATTATCTGCTGAGCTGTCTGGGGTGGTTTCTACTTCCATTGCAATTTTCTCTGGAGTCTTATCAGTTGAGTCACTGGTTGACACCTAAATATGTAAAACAAAAGATTATAGGTGTAATTATTTTAGTTAGTTTTATAACTAAAAGACATTAGTATTTGTACTGTATAAGATGTTTTGGATTATTTCTTTACAAAATTCATATGACTAACTATATTTTTTTAAATCAAATAACAACAGAAATTTTTAGAAGTTAAATAGCATTGACAAAGTTTACCTCTCCATTTCTATCTTTGTCAGAATTGCTTGAGGAAACTCCGCCGGCATCTTCCCCATTACGCACCTCCTTAGAATTTGAGCCATTACTGCTGGAAGCAGCTTCATTTGGCTGTTCACTGCTTGATCCAGCTGCAACACTACATTCTGCATTAGAGCTAGATGCTCCGGAACCTGTGACAAAAAGTTTATTCATTTATTAACACTTTCTTGCACAATAATAAAAGCAATAACCATATAAATGAGACATATAACATATTAAACAACAAAATAAATATACAAGTGTAGAAAATAAAAATCTGAAACAATTTTTTTCATGTGTATTTACTAGAGTAAACTAGAAAAAAAGTTTAAATTTAAGAAATTATATAGATAGGAAACACTTCACTCCGAGGGGTAATTAATAGAGAGAAGCTGTTTATAAGGAGTATTTTAGAAGACAGGAGAAAGGAGCCATGCAAATATAAATGGTTAGGTTATTCCTTACCTGTATATAATTTGAAAGGATTTGTCTAAGAAATTGCAGCTGTGAAAGGGAATGGAATGTGTGGAAGGGATCTCAAGAATAAGCCATTAAGATAATATAACTATTAACTACTATAGACCCAAATATTTGAAGTTAAGATTTAAGAAATCTATACTAATATATAAAGCTGAAGAGTTGCTCAAACATCGCGCTGTGACTAATAGAAGCGAAGATACAGGGGGAAATGTGAATAAAACGTGGCTAACAACTTTTTTTTGCAAACAAAGTTTGTAAAGATAAATAATGTCCAAAATAATGATTCTCGTGGAGGAAGTCGCTGGCTCAGCTAGTTTAAGATAAATAGGACAAAAGGCATAGAAGTTCACACCATTATTTCAATATGTTTAATAATTTAAACATATTGAAATAATTGTGTGAACTTTAAAAAAAACTTACCTGAACCACCAGGTTCATCAATGCTTCTCTTTGCTCTTAAGCATGGAGACAATGGTGTGGTTTTGTCTCCAAGTCTCGCACGATGTAGAGTACTGAGTTTGTTTTCATATTTTGCCAAAACCTCCTGAAAATTATTGCTATTTTGAAAATGTTTAACATATTTATTTTTATTAAATAAAGGTTACTGATGTACTGTGTTGTTAAAGGTATCTAGCTTACAAAATGAAACTGTCAGTAAAGGAAATATTTACCTGTAGGGGTAGGCGAGCATCCTTATATAAATTACTAATACTTTCATCTTCTGATTCCTCATTATCGCTGGGGCCAGGTGGGTTTATTTCACCTATAAAACATACAGAGAGCATGACAACAACAATCTTCACATACTTAGACTAAATAGTATGAGATTGAAAGGTTCAGAGTCCAATAATTTAAAAGGGTAATTAACTTGTCTCCATTATATGGCGTTCTAGATGATAATTAATTATATTTAAGCTCAGTAAAATTGAAGATATTATCATATCGAAGTCTAGATTATACAGCAAAGCCTATTATATACCTGCCAGTTCTTTTAAAATGTCCATAACCTCTTTTGTGGCAATAGAATCATCAAATCCAAGAAATGCATCAGTTAATGCTTTCACAAGATCGCCGCTCTTATATGCATCTGTGTTTTTAATGAAATTAGGCAAATTCTGCGAGCAGTATGTAGCGACTTCAGCCCCGCCATGTCCATCGTAAACGGCGAAAAGAGATGTATTCACGTCAAAATCCAACATTGTATTGTGAGCATCCTAAAATATTTAGATATTATCAAACTGTGAACAACATTGTAACATAAACTATGTTGTTACCAATATAATTGTATCTTTGTAATGTATTCTTTTGGTTGACTTAGTCCATGGTACTACTACTTTGTTGTAAGCAGTTAAGAAAATGTACATAAGTACTTTCGATCTCAGACTCTATGAAATATAGTTCACATCAGGTTCACCTATTGCAATAATGCTTAGGTTATAACGGGGATATTTATTACAAAGAAATCTTACTTCTTGGTTGACACGCCACCCCTGCATAGAACTCGCGCCGCATTCATATTTGTTGTTAGATTCATCACTGGATATTTTTTCAGTAACGGGTTCCGATAAATATGCTCCCATACTATCGGTTAATGAACATAAATCTGAGATGAAATAGGACAAACGCGCGAAATTTCACTAAAAATGCACGCAGGCGGCAAGCGAGCAAAACCACAATTACGAACCATAAATTATGACCAAAGGTGTAATACACTATGGTATGTCCACAGACTAACAAAATCAAAGAGGACGATACAGAATATAGGTTTAGATAATAGTTTATCACTACCTTATAAAATTAAAAATAACCAACGAATTATATATATTTTTTTAATTAATTGGGAATAGGAATCAAAACTTCTAAATTACTACAGCATTTTCTCTCTTTTCCTGTCGATCTCCATTAATGGTTTTTAAACCAAATCGTAAATCTAAATCTACTAGCTAGACGAGACTTTATAATGGGACATTCCTCCAATCGTTGTTGAAAAAAAAAACTGTTACACAAAATGGTAAGTAATGGCACTATTGAACCAATATTAACACGTAGTATATACCTGTACTAACAGTGCTTAACCGGTTACGGAAGCAATATTGTTTAATAAATCGACCCAAAAATACAAGTGATAATAAAGGTTATCATTTCTCGTTATATACATACCTACCTACATTTACGATTGTTAAAAGTTACATCCTTAAGTTTTACAGTAGGTTCGAAGCTTTTAAAACAAATTTTAGTAATAGTGAAATACATTTACGCAATTTTTTGTAAGATAAGTAAATTTTTATTTTTTATTCGCTCCGCTTCAAAAGTAAGTGCCTTCACAAGACGATTTAACAATGTAAAACAATAATAAAATTATTAGTTAATATACGAATAACAGATAATATAAAAATTATCTATCTTTATTAACTTACAAATTAAGAGTGTTTTATTTCAATGTTTTTATATTATTAAGAATAGGAACTATCTTGTATTCCTAGTATTAAATTAATCCACGAAGTTCATATAAGGTGTCATTATAATAAGCAGGTAAGTCATATTAGGTAATATTGTTTCTTCTCAAACACGATTCAAAGAAAATAAACATTTATCGAATAAGTAAATACTGTTATCACATTATAGAGAAGGCTTGAAAGATTAAATAATTTCTGTTTTCTCAAACACAACGTTTCAGTCGTCTTTTGTTGTCACACAATCGCTTCCTTATAAAAAGTCAATTCCCTTATAACCAAAAACAGAAGTGTTTTGTTCAAAATGGATAGTGTTTATGATCGGGCGCTGCATGAAATTGGAGATGAGGGGAGATATCAAAAGAAATTCGATATAAAATACAATATTTTATTAATTTTCTTGTGGAGTATGGTTTATATGAATTTAATAGTTTCTTTGGCCATAACTCCGTATACGTGCAAAGTACCCGACAAATCAAATGATAGTGTCAGTGAATTTGACTGGAAAGCAAGATATATTCCGCAGTAAGTATGGTACAGAAAGAAATAATTAGTTGAATTGTTAATAAGATTATGGAATTTTTAAATTAGCCCTATCATTGTTTTAACATAATTATATTTTTCATTTTAGCCGTACAGAAAATGGAAAAGTTTCATTCGAAAGTTGCGTTTTATATAAAAACCCGGATTTAAACAATGAAACTACAGGTACTAAGTTTATTTTGTTTTAAATAGTAAATTTTTTTAAGTAGTTTGTGTCTCAAAAGTTACGCTTCACGTTTAGCTCTGGCGCTCCTGGGTGAAGCAGGACACCGAAATCTTAACAACTCCGAGCCTATTTAAATCAATTGAAGTGTAAAAAGTATATGAATATAAATACTCAAGAATATAGAACTAATTCCTTTTAAACCGTTAAAAAGTGTTCAATGTAAGACGCAAACTACAGATCTTGTGAACGTGTATTATCATCTGTGTAACGTTGAACAAGTCTTTTTTACGCAATCGTAACTGCCACCAAAATGATAGTAAAACGTTACTATACCTAAATCCCTATAAGCTAGACATCGCGATAACTATGAGATAACGTTTTGTAATTTTGACGAGACAAACATTTTCACGGTAGGATGAATTTTATTGAAATTTCATAATCATTATGCACAACATGAGATATGGCTATGGCAAAAATGAAGCGAATTCTAAAAAGTAAAAAAAAACTATTCATTAAGTAAAATTCAGTAATGATCACACAACTTATTGACGCAAATTTCTATTTTCTCTCCTGTTTGTTATGTAGGTACTTTATTTATTATAAACAAAGAAACTCAGTGATATTTTTTTCCTTTCTAATTTCTTTCAGAATGTAATTCGTATACTTACGACACCACTTGGTACGGATCCACTATTCCCTCCGAAAAGAACTGGGTTTGCGATAAAGAAATAAATATTGCAAATATCTTCGCCTATAGCAAAATCGGTGAAGCTTTCGGGTCTATATTTTTCGGATGGTTCGGCGACGTGTAAGTAAAAACAGAACAAATATCTATTAGTCATACATCTATTATTAGTCTTCTTAAGATCCGTTATCTGTCTAAAGGTGTATTGGGTTCAGTGGTCCAAAGGTTACAGGTTTTAATAATCAACTAACCCCTGGGTCTATTTCCCCCAGGTGCAATATATTTATTGAATAAATATATATTTTTTTCTAAAACCGAGTAGGTAAAGCCGTATATTTTTCTACTTCTCCGTTTTAGTCTGGATTTCAATTATCTCAAGGCTGAATGAGTCGACAGCGCATCTTGTCAGATGTTTTAACTAGCTGCGCAAGCGACTTTATCCGCGTAGATTAGTTATTGTTTATTAAAATTTGTTTTTGTAAACCTCCTCATGTTTGTAAATTTTCACACTTACCAACGACGTAGTCCGCGTCCCATCGTTTTTGCAAGTCTGTCTTAAAAAATTTAAGTTGTGCATACCTTTAAGTTAGTTATATATGTAGTTGGTATGCTTTGTATAAAAATTTTGATGTTTTTTTCCGCGGGGGCCCCCCCGAATAACCTATAAGATGAATATATTCTTTCATTTCCCCAGTACCCACTGTTCCTTCGTTTCTATTGGTCGTATCGTGACGTTTTATAATAAACTCTTCAACTTTATATACTAGTGTAGATATATTATCATGCATGTCGCAGGCGCGCGAGTCTATATTGTTTTTACTGATAAACGATCTTGTTAGAGACATATTTTAAACATGAAAAAATGTTTTTTATTATTTATCAAGTTAAAATATGTTTTCAGCTACGGACGTCGAGCCACTTATGTACTCTCCTTAACAATGATAGTCTTGGGAAGAATAATTTCTCTATTAGCCGGCACATCGTTTGTGGTTTTCGTGACCGGTTGTGTTGTTGCTACTGTACCATCGTGGTCCGTTCCACAGACAGTGTCTGTTATATCGATGGAAATGTCATCACCAGCGCGAAGATCGATTACCACGTCTCTCCGATATACAGCTTTTAGTATTGGATTGGCGACTATGCCCTTCATTTACTGGTGGCTACGAGATTGGAGAATATTCGTTATCGCCACCACAGCTCCCCTGTTGCCGTGCATTTTACTTTCTTGGTAAGCTTATAGTATCACATGACTCATTAATAGGTACTTAAGTCGAAAAGAATCCTTTACATACACTGGTTGGCTTTCTTTCGTCCGCTTACATAACATAACTTTTATAGGAAAATACCAGAATCACCAAGATGGCTGTACGTGGAGGGAAAGTCAAAACGCTGCGTAAAATTATTAAAGAAAATCGCTGAAGTTAACAATTGTAAATTGAGGGTAGAAACGGAGAAAGAGCTGCTATCTATGAAAGTCGAAAAGTCCTCGAGCGGATTTGGGCCTTTAGCTTTATTTTCCGGCAGAAGACTAGCGTTGAATACAATTTTATTGCTTTTATTATGGTAAGTAACTAAGAAAAATACTAATTTCTTTCAAGTGCTGTTTATGATTGTTGTTAAATGTTGAATTGTCGAGAATTCGCGGACGTCAGCCCGATGCGATTTGTTCTATATTTATGTTGCAGGGTATTCGTGTCAATATGCTACTCAGTTTTAATTTTGAGTACGGGTGAAAAGACAGATTCGAACCCCTTTATCCAGTTCTCCATTCAAGCAATCGCTGAGATACCCTCGAACTTCATTGGTGCATGGCTGTGCAATAATATTGGTCGTCGGCGCTCAGCAGCGTCTTCCTTTTTTATCATTGCAACTATCTGGACCATTATTGCGCTACGAGAAATGAGTAAGGGATTAAAAAATTTTGAATTTTAAGATCCTTTCAACAAATATATTCGTTTAAGGATAGTTTTTAAAATTGCTGTACATAATCAATTCGTATACTATAATAGTAAAATTTTCGTTTTTGTTTTGCTGTTTATTGTTTCCCTATTTCTACAAATATTACAAATTCAATAAAAAAATAACTACAATAATATGTTAACACTACGAAGTAAGTAATTTCTTTAGGGTAGACGTTTTTGTACTCCTAAAGAAATATATTATTTTTAGCTACCATCTCCTGGATTCGAGCGTGGTGGATAAGCAGTGTGTTAATAACTGTTGGAAGGCTTACTATATCGGTATCGTTCTTTGCGATCAATTTACTCAATATGGAGATATACCCGACGTGTTTGAGACAGTCGGGATTAGCTTTGGGGAACGTCTTATCTAGTGTGGCGGCTGCAACAGCGCCTTACATTTTATACTTAGTAAGACACCGTTTCATATTACAATCATTAGATGCTTTCAATCTGTTTGTTATTTTGTCTTGTTCCTCATTATTGATTACACCGCTCCGTCGTATAACAATGATAAATGTTTTCTAAATCAGCTTTAATTTGATTTTACATTAATTGGGACTCTGTTAGCACAATCATTTTTAACAACTTTAGTAACGAATTGAAATATTAATAAAATTACATCTGTAAATATCTCTGTTTGATTTCTAGGGTCGTCGAGTGGATCCACGTTTACCTGGCGTTATCTTAGCTGGTTCTTGTTTATTAAGTGTAGTGATTTCTATGTTTCTACCGGAAACATTAAATGCAAAATTGCCCGAAACGATAGAAGAGGCAAAAACATTTGGGAGCAAACAGAGCGATTACTCTACAGTTACGTCAAGTAAAAAATCAACAATGGATGATTATACCTGAGTTCGAATGTTTTGTTAATAAGCAATTGTATAATTATGAGTATTTTTAAAGTAAATATCAGTTTTATTTCAAAATAAGAATTCAGTTGCTTTCTATTTGTTACGCTTTTGTTCAGAATGCTTTTACTATATTTAGTGAAATGTTGCGTACGAAAGACACTAGAAAAATTGAATAAATAAATTTATGATACATTTATTAGTATTATTTATCTAAATACATCACACGATCGAGACGAGAGTTCATCAATCGCTGATTGACTGATAAGCAGGTTTAAAACGTGAAAGTTATGTTTTTTGTCATACGAAATCATACGGCATCCGAAAAGAAATGATTTTCCTAAAACTATAATATAACATTTGAGTCTGTGCCAGTATATTGTGTTTACTCTGTGCTAGTATATTGTGTTTACTCTGTGCCATGCTCGGTACCTACATATCTACTATGATATCTGTATTAGTAATTTTAAATTTATACTCTGTGGTAATAATTTCCAATATTTCATATTCGCAATTAAGTACTAAATTTAATAAAAAAATAGTTAAATAAACTAAAATAATGGAAAAGGAACTGAGCGATTGAAATACTTAAAATTAGCCCAACTCTTCTTTCCAATAAATAATCTCTTGGTACTTGATTAAAGGAAAATTAAGGATAATATGTCGGGTGATCACAAAACTTTGATAAAAGGCAGCCCATCCCAATATGTTAAATTAAATGTGGGAGGTACTCTATTTTACACAACTATTGGGACGCTAACGAAGAGTGATAATATGTTAAGAACCATGTTTAGTGGTAGAATGGAGGTATTGACCGATTCTGAAGGTACCCACTATTATTATCAATTTCGCCATCAACTATGTTTTAGGCGGATGAATATATTATAAGATATTTAAATATTTTATTTAAGGTTGGATCCTAATCGATCGCTGTGGCAAGCATTTCGGAACAATTCTTAACTATCTGCGCGATGGGACAGTTGCCTTGCCAGATACTTACAGAGAAATAATGGAATTATTAGCTGAAGCAAAATACTTTCTTATAGAAGAACTAACGGACTCCTGCCAACAGGCATTGGCGAAAAAGGAAAGAGAAGCTGAACCCATTTGCAGAGTTCCTTTAATCACTTCTCAAAAAGAGGAGCAATTACTTATCATGTCTACTTCAAAGGTAAAAATGGAGGTTTTATTTCTTAAAATGATGAAGTTGCCATATTTCTAATGTGTGTTTTGTGAACTTTCAGCCTGTTGTCAAGCTGCTTATTAACCGGCACAATAACAAGTATTCATACACAAGTACCTCTGATGATAATTTACTGAAAAACATTGAGCTTTTTGACAAACTGTCACTGCGCTTTAGTGGCAGGGTATTATTTATAAAGGATGTGATTGGTTCCAATGAAATTTGCTGCTGGTCTTTCTTTGGTCATGGCAAGAAATGTGCTGAAGTATGTTGTACATCAATTGTTTACGCTACTGATAAGAAACACACAAAAGTAGAATTTCCTGAGGCGAGAATCTATGAAGAAACCTTAGGTATATTGCTTTATGAAAGTAGAAATGGTCCAGATCAGGACTTGATTCAAGCGACATCATCGAGAGGTGCTGTCGGAGGGCTTTCATGCACAAGTGATGAGGAAGAGGAACGGTCAGGTCTTGCACGACTAAGGTCAAATAAACAGAACAATCAGTCTTAGCAGTTACAGAATGGTTTGGCTCGCCTAAGGAGCTCTAAACGGACAAATGTTTGATACCTAGCTGGTTGTCTTGTACTACCTTGCTGGCTTACATGTTTGGGTATCTAAAATTTGACCAAAGTAGACTTCAAGTCTGTCTTCTATGTAGACCTTCGCAGTGAGGTGAAGAATGAATTGAGCATTTATGAGGAGTATGGTGACTTGTCCCATGGACTTTACTAGTAGTAACATATCTGTTGTGCGTAGTGTAAATACTTTAGAGGCTGGTACAAATGAAATGTTGAAGATGCGCAAGTCATATTCCTGTACTTATATATAACAATGACATATGTCTGCATGTGAAGAAACCATCCACAGTATTCCCTTCTTATTCTCCAAGTATTTAAAAGATTTACAAGGTATAGTCTCTTACATTAGTTGATGTGTCCTATTTAAACTATTGTCACCATTTGTAGTCTATTTAAACTTCTAAGGTTCTTAATGTTAACATGTGCAGTTAACCAAATGCTTTACTGTGTCAAATTGAATATGCATGTATTAAATGAATGTACATGGCTCAAGAAATTTGCCAAATCGATGTTGCTTAGATAATAGAGTTTATTATAAGTATGTAAACAGTATAAAGTGACAAAAATGCTCATTGCTTGGCAAACAATTTTTGTAAATCACTAAACTTTAGATAGTAACTTAACATTCAGTGTCAATACCAAATATTAACTTGTAATTGTTGTAAAACATGAGTACATAATGTTGTAATGGCTGTGGTGAGCAATATTGACCATGAATTGTAAAGAATATGAAGATATGGCTTCTGTGAACCCAATGGGATGTTGCGATAAAAAGTATGCGTTCTGTCAAGTGTGGAAACTCATAATTACTATAAAAATATAATCAATTTGTAGTCCTTATCTTACATGACACGATGCTCTGTATTTACATTATCTTATGAAATATAATATGCTCACTGTGTTATTCCTTATTTTATATACCCACAAACATTTTTTCTGCACTTTGAAAAATCTTCTCTTAGTAAGAGCTATTTAGTATATATTGTATATATATTACATAGCTCTTAAATGGGAAGTAGATAAAGATGTTAATGTTGTATAGTTTTATATTCTATGCAATGTGTGGCATATTTCTGCAAAACATTTCATGTTTTCAAGGCCATTATAGAAAATTTTATGTAAATTTAAATTTACCTATAGGACATACGTAAAACTAGGAGTCTACTAATCCTATTAATTAAAAGTTCTTATAAATTATGGAACATTTATTGCAATATTCTTCTTATAACATTCTAAGCTACACAATGGTAAGCCAGTTTTAGAACAGTTATACTTTTTATTATTATTACAGCCTTCTACACCACATTTAACAGGCTTTGGCGGTTCAAGAGAATTTTTGGTCTCCAATGGGAAGTCCATTCCGGGTGGGAGAGAAAGAGTTATTTCATTTTTATTATTTTTATAGACTATCATGGGTTCTTGCTTTCGAAGAGGTTTTCCTTTATGCATGTTCTTGAGGTTTTTCGACTCTTGTTTCTTGAGAAGACGATCCATTGTTTTCTTTTTATCTTTTTCCCTTTTTTCATCAGCTAGTTGTTTCCGCTTTTGTGATTTTAATGCAGCTTTCTGCAATGCTTCAGCAGTCATCACTTTTTCCTTATATCCTGAAGGCAAGGCGAGTAATACTTCTCGACCGGGACTAGTTTCTTTGTCAGTTCCTCTTTCATACATAGCTCTTTGCCTAGCCGTCATCATTTTGGGATCTTTAGGTTTGATTTTCTTAAGTTCCTCATCTACCTAGCGCAAACAAGAAAGATTAATCTTCTGAGGAGGTAAATTATGCAATAAAATATGTAGGTAGAAAACATTACAAATTTTGTTAGTACTTAGTATTACACATATGATACTACCCATTAAAAATAGAAAAATATACCTCTTCAAGTTTGCCTGATTTGATAGCATCCAGCCACCTCTCCTCCTCACTAGAAGTACCACTATCTTTGCCTTTTGTTTTCTTTTTCTTAGGAGGTACCTTTGGTGGAGTACTGGAAGATGATCCAGGCATTGATTTTCGATAATCTGTGGTTTTCATAGTTTGTGCTTTTAGTAAATCTGCAGCGGTGCCTGGTACTTCTTTTCTACTTTTTATTTTGAATGGTTTATCCATGGCATCTTCATAAGACACATCGATGGATGTGTCACTTTCATACTCATGTTCAGGTTTTCTTTTCTTTTTCTTGTGTTTATGTCGTTTATGCTTCTTTGCTGGTGATGTATCTAAAAATATTAAGATAAAACCAATAGGTGCCCGATCAACTTATATTATAAATGTATAAGAATTTAATATTACCGATTACTATCTCATCTTCTGTAGTGCTTGGTTCTCGAATTCTGCGTACCATATCGAGTAATTCAGACTACCTCAGGTTTTATTTTGCTTTATATCTTGTAATACTCTATTTGTATACGATTGTTCTGATCAAAAAGTCCGGCAATAAGTATATTTAGGATTTTATGTTTATCGAAATACGACTATTATATCCAATTCTGTTAAAATTTCAGTGTTGCTTCTATTTTCTTGACGTATTTAGTATTTATAATAGTAAGATATTTATATGTTGTTTTTCTTTATTCCCCTTTTATTTAAGTTTTGGATTTGACAATGACAGTATACAGTTGACAGATAACTTCAATAGACTTTTACAGAAGTAGATTTTTTTTAAAATATCGAATGGGCTGGTAATGAGACCTTTAAGCCAATTATTATTTTCACTTCTTGCTTCACACTTTTCTCTTTATGTAGATCCTAGAGTGTTTTTAGAAGTAGAGTTGTTCTATAGAGCTAGGTTAATAATCGAACCTACATCAATGGATATTTTTTAAATTTTTATTAAGGGTAATCGGTCATACTCGTATATCCATATATAATATTTTGTAACATATAAATAAAGTAAATTAAACTCACTGACTAATATAATGATTACTTCGATGTAATACTGTCTGTAGTTTACGCGAGTAGTACACATTTTAATAATACACTTTAACGGTTTTAAACGCAATGTATATTAGTTAAACTTGTTTAAATGGGGAGACTCCCCGTGACCAAAATGGTTATAAAGCATACCTACCTGTTAAAATAATTTTCAAACAAGTTTAACTAATATATAATACGTTTTAAATCGTTAGTATTTTATTTAAAAATACTTTGATGTAAAATCAGTCAAATTTTCGGCATACTATCGAGATTATATCCTCTTGAAAATTAAGGGTAGCTTGATTGTAAATTTTAAAGAGTCTGTTGACTTTTATCAGTGAGTGGGCACAAGTACTTATGTGTGGGTGGCTGATTGAAAAGAGCTTACTTCAGCCAAGTTTAAGTAGCTATACGAGTCTACCTGAATTTCCTTTGTTTTTACCGTGCATAAGTATAACATCCTGTTACCATTAAGTATGACATTGACTTCTTGTTTTTTGTTTTTTCAATTTTATCATTTATCCTAGCTAATGATTTGCGTAAATAAGACATATCTGTGACGTTTTTGATTAATAATAATATCGGATCAATACGTAGGTTTTAATTGTTTAGTATTTATTGACCGTAAAATACAAACGACATTTAAAATCTGACTTATAAATGTATTCTATAAGAGAAAGTTTAGGGCAGTCGTACACATCATTTGAATAAAAAACCTTGAAAGGTGTAAAACGCGAAATGTATTAGTCAACGTATTCCAAAACGCTCACATATATTTAAAATAATTTGACTAATATAGTTTAGTTTACGCCAGTAGTACACATTCAAAGAAAACACTGCAACGGTTCAAAGCGAAATAAATACATATATTAGTTAAACCTATTTTAATTAATACATTTTGCGTTTTAACCAGTTAAAAGCGTTTTAATTAAATTTTTATTAATAGCCTCACGTAAATAGGTAAGATGTGTGCAATATATGACTAGTGGTGATAATGTTTCTCATTTAATCTCTCTCATATTTTTGTCCCTTGGGAATCTATAATACACCACATTCTCGGGCAGGGAATAGGTACATTGGCATATTATTGCAAAATGTAGGTCAAACTGACAAACGGGTTATAAAGACCAATAGCTGTTGGGTATCTTGTGGTGCTGTTATTTCAAAGTGGAATAACAATAACATTATGATTGGCTTATTACGTCGTCCAGAGTTCTCTAGTTTTCTCCAGGTTTTTTTAGGTATATCTGCATAATGCTCGCAGCAACATTTTTTTAAAATCACAGACGAGCACTCCAAGCTTCCGGAAATCTATTTCGCGCCTAAGTCATTGAGGTAAATTTGTATTATTTATGATACTTAAGTCAAAAATATGGATAAAGGTCTGACGTAAGCCTCCAATGTTACATCCTATAGCCAGTATGTATGTACTTAGTGCCTGGTTCTGCCATATTTATGATCTGCCACGTTTGTATATGCATCGAAAGACGCGAAATGTGTTAGTTAACTTATATACAAATTTAATTACTGACGATTCGGATGCTTTACATCAGTAGTAGTAGTAGAATCCCGTTTGCCCTAAGACTCCTGTTCCCGAAACAATGCATCGTTTCCCCGGGATTCAAAGCCAGGGCCTCTCGCGCTTAACAACTTATAGCTAAGTTGTTAAGCGCGAGAGGCCCTGGCTTTCTAAAGTGTTTTATTTAAATGTGTACTACTCGCGTAAACTATAGACAGTATTTTTTTTATCCTGATGCGAATAAAGAGACGTTTGACGTGTTTCAGCTTTAGTATCAACAAAGAATAAATAACCTTGTATATAAAGTTGAAGAGTTTGTATGTTTGTTTCCTTGTTTTAACGCATCAATCTCAATAACTACTGAGTTAATTCTTTCTGTGTTGGTTAAATCATTTATCGAGGAAGGCACTATAAAACGCGCTGCGACCAATAGAAGCAAAGAAACAGCGAGAAATTGGAAATTTATAGAGTTGAACAGGAGGTTTGCAAAGGCCAAAATGACTTCTGCGCGGACGAAGTCGCTGACACAGCTAGTCGTTTATATAGACAGACAGGTTAAAGGTAGAAGTAAATTGGTGAGAATGCATAGTGCGCTCATCTTGATTTATCGCACCAGGCCCCAGTGTACAGTTAGCGGTGCTGAGCGGGTTTTATAACCGCAGAGCGTCTATCGACGTTAACATTAACGTTTTACGAACTCACTTCGTAGCTGTCATTTACCTACATCCGTCTGGTTTTACGATGATAGTTCAACAAGGCAGCTGTCAAATGAAACTAAAAAGGTGATAACATCTCTATTAGCTTTGTGGAAGGTTAAAATAATGAGCGACTACACGGCTTGAGTTTTTAACTCGAGTAAGGTTTTTTAAATGATAGAATAAGGTGAAATACCCCCGCCATATAACATCTAATCTAGATGCGCTGTCGCATCTATTTTGGCATTGGAAATTAAACCCAAATGCGCTTACTTCACGGATTTTTCATCAGTGGTTCGGTGTTTTGTAACCCGGACGGAATCTTGACATTCCTACCACTCGTTTTATATACAGATTGGATAGGATTAAACATGTAGGACTCGGTAGGGATCGACTCCACGACCTGTTAACTGTTACGCATAAAATGCTCCCATTACACCAAAGAGCGCGTCAAATGTTAAATTTATATTTAAATAACACTTTCAACGGTTTAAAACGAGAAATATACTACGCGATTAGTAAAACTGACATATAAATATGATTACCCTATGCCACACAAGAAGAAACAGTTCTTCACTTTTTACTTTTAACTAAGGCCTGATGTATCAGATGCTTTGCTGTAACCATAGTCCCGGGGAACAGTAATATATTATGAGACTCATTTTTTTCTATCTTATTATGTGGACATGTCTCTTTTCAAAGTCCGGCGAAGCATCACTATCAGTTACCAAAGATTAATAAAAAAAAATGCGCGAGGTTATATGAATATACTGTACCAAAAAGGTTTTATATGTAACACGAAGATACCCAAATAATTCATTCGGGGAGCAAAGAAACTCGTATAATGCTTTGTCTGCAGTGAAGTGGTTCATTTGTCTCTCGGAGGTCCGGAAGCGAGTGTAAAAAGTTCCACTCGCTGTGATGTGCTTTCCGCAATTATCTTTGTGTCCTGTTGTCGCTGCTGTGGGGGGTTTTATGAACAAAAGCCCTTGGGAATAACATTGTAAAAACCGCGACGTTAATCTATACTATTATAAAGTTTTCTGAGGAGTTATCTCTGGTATTTATATTGTTATAGGTAATTAATATATTAAAATACTGTCTGTTGTAGTACACATTAAAAAACGCGATATATATTAGTTAAACTTCCCATCGTTCATGGGGAGACCACGGCTGCTGCAAAACATCCGAAACGTCGGGCCGAAGTTAAAAATCATTTTCAAATAAGTTTAACTAATATATCGCATTTTAAACCGTTAAAGTATTTTATTTAAACGTGATAGTGTATAGACAGTAAAACTCTTCAGCTTTATATATTAATATATTTAGATGTCTGGGGTATTTTATACCTTATGAAGGAATCATGCTTGTTTATTACGAAAACACACAAATTAGGATCTGATTAACAATCTCACAGTAATCTTTATGTTTGTGTTACGATAAACTTAGTTCTGTTTAATAGGACCCCGAGTACCTACCTCGTAAGTTACAATCAATTGATTCGTTTAGTAAAAAAGTAACTCGGCTAATTTCATTAGGCTTGCTGACGCGACAGCATAGATAACAGAGTTGTGTAAATGAACCGTATACGTCATTCTAAGCACGTTCATCTCTGTTGCTAGTTGCTTTGTTGGAATTGTTAGGAGCCCCGATGTGGAATTTCTCGGAAACCGGGACAAAATCCTCCACTTTGTTTTGGTAGTTATGCCGAGAGACTCGCCCGAATAAAGGAATTGTCGTAACCTAGTGTTAGCTGTGTTTATTAAGACATTTAGATTTTTTTGCGAAAATATCTGTACTATACAGACTATATAATGTAATGCATATACTATTAGTAAAAAGTAAATCCTTTTAATTTAATCTGTATCAGTAAATGACTGTAGCGTTTTTCTGGCATCCTATTTTAATGTAAAAAAAGCCAATTTTACAGTCCAATTATACGATGCGCTAAGCTGAAATTCAATCCGTGAAGATTTTTTTCGAGAATAGTGAGAACTTAAAGCCTGACTGAAAGAGAAACAAGATCAATCTTGTTCTATCTCTTTTTCTATATTATAAGTACTTTTATTCAATACTGTCTATAGTTTACGCGAGTAGTACACATTTAAATAAACCTTTTTTACGGTTCAAACGCGATATATTAGTTTAAAACCGTTAAAGTGTTTTATTTAAATACTTTTATTCAGTTTTATTACATAGATATGCATTTGTTAT